TGCGATTGCGTGTCCAATATCTAGGATGGTCCACTTGAGTCGGTTGGCCGAGCGTTTTGCAACACCGGCAGGGCCGTGAATTTTTTTGTAGTCACCAGAGTGCTCGGCAATCGCTAGCAAGAGTTGGTTCTGCTGTAACCCCGGAGTCTTATAAAGGTATCTCTTAAGATTCCTCCACATCATGATATGTACAAGTTCCTCAGGGTCCTGCAATCTGGTGGACAACACGTTGGTAGTAAGCCATGGCGAGGCATGCGATTCTGGCTGGTTGAGCATAGCCCTAGTACACTTGGCGCGGAGGTCTTCGAAGTGGTGATATCCAAGTGGCGTAAAAGGAGACCCAAAGAATGCGAGCAGCCAAATGACAGTTTGAATCAGCTGGGCAACTACATCAATGTCGATTTGACTCTACTCACTCCAAAGTAGACCAGCCAAAAACACATGGAAAAGCAGAAGCCACTCGATGACGGGTTGCCTGGACGTGACCTGGTGGAACTTACTGCGTATCTGATTGGAGACTGCGTGGCGCGGTATTTTCGCGCGCTACTTTTGCGCTCACAAGTCGCCATATTCGAGACTGGCGGGGCGTCTTTGATTTGCGAGCTGGAGCTGCGCAGGAGCACGATTCGAGCGCTGCTTCGGTAACGTGCAAGCCTCAGCTGGGAGCGCGCGCGTCGCGCACTACTTCCGTCAATTCTCGGGCTGCTCCCTCGACATTGAAAAACACAGCCATCACGCGACAGAAAATCTGCTGGCGTTGTCCGGCTGCGCGAAGCAATGCCACGTTTGTTAAAGTTTGCCATTCGAGTTGCAGCTGCGGACGAAAACTGCGCGCGCTGCCTTCGTGCTCAAAAGTTACACTTTCCACGCCTCGCGCTTGAAAGTTGCAAATTTCGAGCCAGGTGGAAAGCGTACCCCGCACGTTTCTCTTGCTCTAAAAGTTTCAGTTTTCACGCCGCAGCTGGAAAAGTGTTCTTGCGCTGCTGAAAATTTGCGAAGTTCAGACCAGAGCCACTTCGCACGGCGCCGCAACGAGAGCACTTCGACGCGTGCGATCCGCACAGAGGGTTCGCGCCGAGGCCGAGACAACTTTGGCGCCACAGCCAAAGCGCTTCTTGGTTCGCACGCTTCAACACGACGATCGCTGCAAAGGCTTCGCTGCGATCAGGAGACATTCGCACGGCGCCACGGCGAGAGTGCCGCGACGCGCACGATCTTCGCAGAGGTTTCGCCACGACCAAGATACTCGCAGGTCGTGCATTTCGATAGCCGTCGGAACCTGCCCGTCACAGAAACGGAAGAAGAAAAAGACTTGAGAGGAGAAGGCGCAAAAGAAAAGTTAGCATGTGCTTTAGGATAGTGAAGTAACACCCGAAAAGTTACCTGCCAACGGTTTGCTTTGTGTTTGGGACACTGACGATAGCTTGTGTTTTCGGATAATGAAGCAACACTCCAACAGTCGACAGAGGTCGCGCGAGGCTTTTGTCTTGTAGAAGGCCAGGTGTCCACAAACCAAAATATCCTCGCGGTTTTGTTTTTGTGGGTGGTAATTTCAAAAAACAGAAACTGAATGAAGACCAAAAACTGGAGAAAGCCGACAGATCTGAAGTTTGGGGCTGGAACCACAATGATCCCCCGGAGACTTGTTTGAAATATATTGGTTTTGTCTTCTCGATGTTTGTTACATTCGCTTGATTGTTCTCAGTTGTTCTCTTTTTTTGCACTGCCCCTTCCCCTGCCCCAAAAAACAAGCGTCTTGGCCCGAGCTTTTCTGCATTGTAGGCACTGTCCATCAAGCGCTGCTTTTGTTTAGACATGCTCCCTTATGTTTCTGCTGAAGGCACGACCATTTATGCACACGCCTTGCTTCGATATGTGTTGACAGCTCTTGCTGAACACTTTTACCAGCGCAGTCGTAGGACAGAAGCTGGAATGATATGCAACAGGCAGACCATGGAAGGCTCAACATCTCCGCCGGCACGTAGGACACCTGAGAGAGGATAGAGGTTAACCCCTCCGCAACACGTCTGATACGTTCCACTTAAAGTAGTCTTTCAGGGAGCGGTGCAAAAAACTTCTCCAATGTGGGAGTGGCAAAACCTCTACAACCAATAATCAAAGCGTTTTGGGGGGCCCATACTGGATTCAAGATGCTTTCAAGCGTCTGCTTTCAGTCATTCCTGTTTGGGTGTGCACCTTATTACCCTTTTCGACTTGTGCTTAGTAAATACAGTTGATAGTTCAGCATATGGACATTGGATACTTTTTCACGACGTAAAAAATTCACACAAACCCTTGGATATTGAGTGTTTTGGCAGGTTTTGTGCAGAACATATTCTGTTCAAGGACATTAGTTGTTTTAGCAGACAGTGTGGCATTGGTCAGGGCATAGGAGGTGTGAGCAAATGTTTCGGTACTGGCCGAGGTTTACAGACGAAGGGGATTTGCAGATGAGTTGAGATGAGAGATGGAGGACGCGTAGAAGACGCTTTGGTTTTTCCACTGGTTTGTAAGTTGACAGCCGAGGACGCATCAGTTGAGATGAGAAATCGGCGATGAGTAGGCGAAGCAGAAGAGGTATGGTTTGCCCTTTTGTTTGATTCACTGCGCTGGTACCCTCACAGAGATGTTTTACAGCCAACTGAGCGAGGATAAAATTAGCAACAGAGAACATCACAATTTCTATTTGACAGCAGATGTGTTTTCTTGGCTGACATTGATGAAAACTTCAGAGAGGCACGCGTGACAAATTCTGGCTCAGACCCTGTGTAATCCGCCGACCCCTTCTCCAAAGGGGAGGCGCACGGGAAGGGTGGCAACAAGATTGTCATCACGATGCTCATCATCATCTCTTTTTTTCGACTTCAATTGTAGCAGAGATGAACAAGGTAGATGCAAAAGATGCGTGGACATGACTATCATGATGACTGCTTCCGAAACTTGCTCGGATGAGCACGTGCTCGCTGACAGCTGTTGGAATTGGCTCGCTAGACACATAATCATCATCATCATTCTCACCGTCATCATCCAGTATGTCTTTCTTGTGTGGCGCTGTGATGATTATCCTTGTTGCTACTGCTACTGGAGATGCTAAGGATGCGTAGCGACGGTCATCATCGTCAGCGATGATTATCATCATCCGGAGGGAGCGCAGGTCGCGCGGAGGACTACGAGCAGCCGGATGGCGCATCCAAGGATTGCTGGGAGTTCGCCAGCAGCAGCCTCGCAGAAATAATGCTGGGGATGCTAAAACCTCGAAAACTCTTGGGCATGGTAAACTGCCGCGAAGTTTCGCGGCAAAAAATACGTATTTTGCGCCGCGAAAAATGTGGGCGGCAGGAGGTCCTGCGGAGGCCTCAAGGATTGCCGGGAGTTCGCCAGCAGCAGCCTCGCAGTAAAAAAATGCTGGGGATGCTAAGGGTCCGGGAGCTGTTGGGGACGCTAAACTTCCGCGAAGTTTCGCGGAAAAAAATTATGTATTCTTTGCCGCGAAAAGTGTGGAGGGATTGCAGGTCGTGCACGGGTCAGGAGCTGTTGGGGATGCTACAGCTACAGTCCCGTTAGGCACCGTGGGAGATGCAGAAGATGCGTGGACACGATGATTATCGTGATGACTGCTGGTGATGCTGAGGATGCGTCGTGATGATTACTAGTGATGCTGAGGATGCGTCATGATGATTCGCAACACAATCCTGCTCATCATGGCTGTCGTTTGTTCTATACGTTTCAAGTGTGCCATTAGGCACCATTGGAGATGCAGAAGATGCGTGGGCATGATTATCGTGATGACTGCTGGTGATGCTGAAAATGCGTGGACATGATTATCATGATGACTGCTGGTGATGCTGAGGATGCGTCGTGATGATTACTGGTGCTGCTCAGGATGCGTCATGATGATTATCAACACAAGCACGTTCATCCTGATTGTGATCATAATCTCTTTCTTCTACACGTTTCAAGTGTCCCCGTCAGGCACCGTTGGAGATGCAGAAGATGCGTGGATATGCTTATCGTGATGACTGCTGGCGATGCCGAGGATGCGTGGACATGATTGTCATGATGACTGCTGGTGATGCTGCGGATGCGTCGTGATGATTACTGGTGATGCTCAGGATGCGTCATGATGATTATCAACACAAGCATGTTCATCATGATTGTCATCATCATCTCTTTCTTCTATACGTTTCAAGTCTTCCGTTAGGCACCGCTGGAGATGCAGAAGATGCGTGGACATGCTTATCGTGATGACTGCTGGTGACGCCAAGGATGCGCGGACATGATTATCATGCTGACTGCTGGTGATGCTGAGGATGCGTCGTGATGATTACTGGTGCTGCTCAGGATGCGTCATGATTATCAACACAATCCTGCTCATCATGATTGTAATCATCATCTCTTTCTTCTACACGTTTCAAGTGTCCCGTTCGGCACTGTTGGAAATGCAGAAGATGCGTGGACATGGTTATCATGATGACTGCTGGATGCGTCGAGATGATGTCTGGTGATGCTCAGGATGCATCATGATGATTATCAACACAAGCATGCTCATCGTGATTGTCATCATCATCTCGGTCTTCTATACGCTTCAAGTCTTCCGTTAGGCACCATTGGAGACGCAGAAGATGCGTGGACATGCTTATCGTGATGACTGCTGGTGATGCTGACTATCATGATGACTGCTGATGCTGAGGATGCGTCGCGATGATTACTGGTGCTGCTCAGGATGCGTCATGATGATTATCAACACAAGCACGTTCATCCTGATTGTCATCATCATCTCTTTCTTCGACACGTTTCAAGTGTCCCGTTAGGCACCGTTGGAGATGCAGAAGACGCGTGGACATGCTTATCGTGGTGTCTGCTGGTGATGCCGAGGATGCGTGGACATGAGTATCATGATGACTGCTGGTGATGCTGAGGATGCGTCTTGATGATCACTGGTGATGCTCAGGATGCATCACGATGATTATCAACACAAGCATGCTCATCGTGATTGTCATCATCATCTCGGTCTTCTATACGTTTCAAGTCTTCCGTTAGGCACCATTGGAGACGCAGAAGATGCGTGGACATGCTTATCGTGATGACTGCTGGCGATGCCGAGGATGAGTGGACATGATTGTCATGATGACTGCTGGTGATGCTGAGGATGCGTCGTGATGCTTACTGGTGATGCTCAGGATGCGTCATAATGATTATCAACACAAGCGTGCTCATCATGATTGTCATCATCATCTTTCTTCTTTACGTTTCAAGTGTGCCGTTAGGCACCATTGGAAATGCAGAAGATGCGTGGACATGCTTAACGTGATGATTGCTGGTGATGCTGAGGATGCGTGGGCATGATTATCATGATGACTGCTGGTGATGCTGAGGATGCGTCGTGATGATTACTGGTGATGCTGAGGATACAGACCTGCTGGTCTTTATGCGCAAGGACAAGTTGGCCAATCCCAATCCATAGCCACTGGAGACTGGCTCCTTACGTCACCCAAAACCACTAATACAAAATTCCCTGTGCGCGGCTCAATTGGTTGTTGCATTGCCGTTAAACCCGAGAAAAAAAGGTGTCGTCATAGTTCTTCTAAGGAGGCGGCGCAGGGCGGCAGCCCTTACATCCGGCTACGCCTCCTGGGGTAGCATGTCGCCGCTAGGCAATTAGCCTGCTAGCTTTAGCTATAGGGGCTGCACCCTGGTGCTGCCGACCCTCGTCACTTGGTCGTGATGCGCTGCCTAAATCCGGCACCTCTGCATCACCAGCTCGGGCTTGCAGTTTTGCTTGCCTGTGGGAAACCCTCGCAAAACATCGCGTATATGCAGGGTTTACGCCATGTGGCTGACATCATCAGGGTCTGGGGTTGGGCCTGGGTGATGCTTCAGCGGGGCTTGGTCTGCATCATCAAGACTTCCTTCCAAAAAGCCTCTCAACCCAAAAAGCACTGTTTTTTAGAAGGTATCGGAGGGATTTAAGCGAGGCTCATTTTCGCGCATTTTGGCGCCAAGCGCTGCCAGGCATGCCGGCGATGCTGGGCCCTCGCTCTACAAAACAAAACGCTGTAAATACCGTCAAAAACTGCCGTGCTGAGCGGTGGGCTGTTGTTCTGTCCGTTTTGCTTTTGCTGTGGCTGGCTCGCGTGCTGCAGCGGTCCTTGCTTTTTTCGCGTTGGTTTTCGGGCCTTCTGGCGCGCGCGACCCCAGCCACAAAACGCTGCTATTTACGGTGTTTTGTTGCTTTTGCGTTTCCGGGCTGGCTTGCGGGCTGTTCTTGTTGGGCTGCTGTTTCTGCGGCCTCTGGCGCGCGCGCGCGCGACCCCATGTCAGCCTTCTGGTTTGGGTCCCGGCTCGGGCCCAGAAAGCTGGCATCCCCGGCATCATCTGGGGTTGGGGTGGGCAACATGCATAACCTAACCAGCCATATTATAGCACAGGATACCTTTCTCATACAAAAAACATGACATGGCATGGTATAACTTCAAAGAGGCGTAGCCGGCTAGAGGCCGCAGGCCCAGAAAATATGACACGTTACCGAACTTCGCTTTTACACTGTACCAAACTTTGCTTCCGATGCTAATTGTCCAATTAACTTGTGTTTGAAAAATAGATTGAGTTTATGGCCACAATACGTATGAAATGATAAAAAAAGATCAAGAGGAAGAATACCACAGACAATTTGTTCAGAACGTAGAAGAGCAAGTAATTACTACTTGTATTGGTGGCAAAGTCTTAATGAATCATCGGCGAAAGTCTGCCAACATTATGAAATGAGCCCACTTTTGGTAATATTAGTCTAAAATGACTTGACCCCCTTACATAAGCAGCAGCGCGTTTGTTTCTTCTTCTTCTTCTTTTTTTTTTTGGGGGTGTATATATATATATATATATACACACATATGTGATACATACATATTGGCGTGGGACACCCATATATGATATGACAACCCCCCAACCCCCCCCCAAAGACGTCTGATACGGGGGGGGGCCCCCCCCCCCCAAGGACCGCGCGGCAATTTGATGACGTTCCACTAAACGTAGTCTTCGGCCGGTGTCGCAAAACAGGGGTCCCAGGCTCGATTCCCCCTGCCGGCTTTTTTGCTGGCTTGGGCTTCCTGCATCCTTTTGCCGAAAATCTGGAAAAACTCTGTGTGTTTGGACATCATCTTTGCGAAAACGCTGGAAAAACAGTGCTTTTTGCGGGAAATACTGGGGAGCAAAGGGGAAGTGCAAGGATACATACATACATACAGACATACATACAGACAGACAGACATACAAACATACATACATACATTAGATTACACAACATCACATTACATTACTTTAAATTACATCGCATTACATACATACATACATTACATTACATTACATTACTTTTTACATTACATTACTTTACTTTACTTTACATTACATTACATACAATACATTACATACATTACATACATTACATACATTACATACATACATTACATTACATTGCATACATGCATACATGCATTACATACATACATACATACATGCAGGCATGCATACATACATACCTACCTACCTACCATACATACATACATACATACATACATACATTACATTACATACATTACATTACATTACATACATACATTACATACATACATACATACATACATACATACATACATACATACATACATACATACACACATACATTACATACATACATACATACATACATACATACATACATACATACATACATACATACATTACATACATACATTACATACATACATTACATACATACATTACATACATACATTACATTACATTACATTACATACATACATACATACATACATACATACATACATACATACATACATACATACATTACATACATACATACATACATACATACATACATACATACATACATACATACATACATACATACATACATACATACATACATACATACATACATACATACATACATACATACATACATACATACATACATACATACATACATACATACATACATACATACATACGTACATACATACATACATACATACATACATACATACATACATACATACATACATACATACATACATACATACATACATACATACATACATACATACATACATACATACATACATACATACATACATTACATTACATACATTACATTACATTACATTACATTACATTACATTACATTACATTACATTACATTACATTACATTACATTACATTACATTACATACATACATTACATACATACATACATACATACATACATACATACATACATACATACATACATACATACATACATTACATTACATTACATTACATTACATTACATTACATTACATTACATTACATTACATTACATTACATTACATTACATTACATTACATTACATTACATTACATTACATTACATTACATTACATTACATTACATTACATTACATACATACATACATACATACATACATTACATACATACATACATACATACATACATACATACATTACATACATACATACATACATACATACATACATACATACATACATACATACATACATACATACATACATACGCATACATACATACATACATACATACATACATACATACATACATACATACATACATACATACATACATACATACATACATACATACATACATACATACATACATACATACATACATACATACATACATACATACATACATACGAGAGAGGGAGATTGGGGAGAGAGTGGCTTGGGGGGATGGGGAGGATGGGAAGCGGAGGGAGGGAGGGAGGACGACAGAACACACCAGGGAGACAAGGGAGAGAGGAAGAAGGAGACAAGGGAGAGGACAATGTCGGCGGACTGAGCCGGAGGCTCTAAAGTATATATATGTGCTGTGTGAATGGATATAATATTTGTCTGTATATTTGTACATAACGCAGTCACTTGGCATCCCCGGCGGCATGGCATCCTCTCCAGCTGCTTCCACGGGAGTCAGCAGAAGTGTTAAAATGAAGGCCGCGCCTTGGTGAGGCCAAAAGAAAACCTGAACAAGAGCTTGGTGGACATGGAAAAACTGGCGACTTGTTTGTTGGTTGTGGGTCATTTTGGTGTTTTTTCACGTCCCGCAAACCAATAACACATAGATTCAGTCTCTCAAATGCCGTTTTGCTTGCAAGAAAATCCCGGACTCCTACACATTTCGGGCCCGGTTTGCCTTTCAAACTCCACTGTTCCGCCAGTGCAGCGCTGAGCACGGCACAGTCGACTCTCAGCATCCCTTCGCTAGTCCATGGGGAAAAAGGACTGCTTGCATAGCACGCGCCACGAAGGCGGCTCCGACGGTAGAATCTCAGATTTAGAGACGTGAGTACTTGCCATGTTTCGGGCTGGGCCATGCCAGTGAAAGCACCAAAAACAAGGGCATTGAGAAGCTAATTCCCACCTGGCAAAACGAAATCCATGCTCCCTTGAGCAAGGCACGGCACGGGGCAAACCTGTTCTGTGTTCGGCTCGACAAAGCAGGCCAAATGCCAACAAGCTTCGCAGCTCCAGGTCTCGCGACACTTTTTCGAGCGACTATAAAGTGTACAAGTGGGCGCCATTTGACCCTTGGCTGCCCACCTTGATAACATGCACTATGAGCACATTGGGGAGATGCGCCGACATCACCTAGCATCTAAGGTGCTGTCCTCAGCTTCCCCAAACGGTTAGAAGTTAGAACAAACAGAAGGCAGCACGGAGGCTTCGTATGCCTTGCTGAATGCCCACAATGTTTTTTGTACAAGAGTATGCTTCATGCATGGCGCAAACTGCAGAACTCATATTGCGTGGCTGTTGTGGCAAAACGGGCTCCTTGTCAGACCGCATTCGTCATCTGCGCAAAAACTGCTTTTGAGCGTGCATGAACTCATCATCCACTGCCGCATGCCTCTGCATGCCCAATCCATGAGGCTGATCCTGTCTGAAACGCTTTTGGCTTGATTCCTCCCCAAAGAATCGGCTGAAGCTGCCATCCGCATTGGGATCAGGGGCAGGGCAAATGCTATCATCTGAGCTGCGTTGTTTCCTGCTTTGCAAGCGATCTGTGGCATCCCAGTTGCAGTTCGGCATTGCAGGCACAGATTGATCCAAGTGCCAAAAGAAAGGATGCTGGCACAAACGTCGCATAGGCTGCCTGCTAAAGGGATTGCAGCATAGCATGCTTGCCAGCAAGTTTTGCCCGCCAGCATCAGGCAGGAGATGCCTGAATGACCGTGCGGGAAATTGCGGAAACTGGTCCGACCAGGCAGAATGCGACGAAACCCCCGGCCACGAAGCCTCGCTTGGAGTTCCCAACTGAAAAAAGATGTTGAAGAGCATGCCAATCTCGCTGGATGCTTGAAAGATCGCCTTGCCCTTGGCCATCTCTGCCAGCACGCATCCTGCCGACCAAACGTCCAGCAAAACACCAATCGTGGGCGCTCGTAGAAACACTTCTGGGCCACGGTACCAGAGTGATGCGACAGTTTGTGTCTCAGGCTTACTGCAACTGCTGGGGTGGATCACAAATGCTCTGCTCGGCGAGAAGTCGCACAGCTTGAGCTCATCAGTCTCCCGCTTCAGCAGGAGATTCTGCGGCTTCAGGTCTCTATGCGCAACTCGTCGCGTGTGGCAATGCGTCAAGCCGTTCAGCAACTGAAAGGCGTAGCGCTTGAGCTTTGGCGCGGGCAAAGCGCCTGCCTCTTGCAGATGCCGCGCTAAGTCGCCGTCGAAGTGCTCGAAGACCATGTACAGCTTCCCGGGTTCCGCAAAGGCGTCCAAGAGCGGCGCGACGCCAGAATGCTCCCCGATGGATTTCAGGAGTGCCACCTCACGCAACACCTGGGCGCTGGCCCCAAACGGGTCGCCGCATCCGGCGGATGGACCTGCCGAGTTTCCCCTCCCGACGCAGGATTCAACCCGTTTTTTTTGTTTGGGGCTTTGGTGCTTCGCCTCAAGTGATATTCGAAGTGATCCAACATGGAACACACCAATCAAAATCAACCGCGCAATTCATCCATCTAGCAAGCACTGCTCTTGGAGGTCCTCATTTGTGTGAGGCTGGCCTTCGAGCTGCTCACAGCCCCAGGCACAGCCAAAACTGCTTGGGCATGGGAAAACCAGGGCTCGCAAGATGTGTGTCTTTGGGGGGAAGTCTTGTGAGTCCGCCCATGTCCCTCCCAAGTGAACAATAGACTACCAGAAGTTGTTTAGATTTGGTAAGTGGCAGGTCTGATGAGAATGCGTGAACATTCATCAATGGATTGAACGGCCATTCTCCATCGTCGCCATTGCAATCATATTTAGAAGGGATTCTGATCAATGTGGGTGGTCTGGCTTGGTAGAGAAACAAAGTAAGCTTGCAGGTGCTATAACAGGGCTCGTCAAGTGACATGTTGCGGCGCCGTGTCGCTGCTTATGCACATCCCGTTCTGTGCTCATGCCCGTTCAGTATGTGAGTACTATGCTTCATTGAAGTGAAAGCAACAACAAAAAAGCCTTTCCGGCTGTCGACGAAATCCTGCAAACTTTCATACATGGATGCTTTGACCTGGGTGGGCTACTAGCGTCGATTGCGCCATGGAAGCCGGGCCTGCATCATAGGAATACCTGACTTTCTTGATGGCCACAATGCTTCCCGTCTGCCGACACCTCGCACGACGCGCACATGTCCTATCCAAATGTGCTCAGCTTGCGGCCTGCAGCGGAAGACCACTCCGCAGGAGCCCTCCCCGATCTTGTCCAGCTTTTGGTATCGCTCCGGGGTGGCCTCGGTGATCACGACCCGATTTTGCTCAGCTCAGGTCTCAGGCCGCGGCCATGCCACTAGGTGGGATACATGCGAATTGAGCCACAGGCCTGCGGGCAGAAGAAATTTCATGGATACCAGGCTGTCACCTGCAACGTGCAGCGGCGCCCAAACCCCAGTGACAAGATGGTTGTAAGGGTCTGCTACAACCCCCCCAAGCCAGGTGGCTAAAATGGCCAAGCTCACGTGCGCTTTGATCACCGTTCGCTTCTGCGCAGGATTGAGACCAGAGTCGCCCAAGCATGCCATGCAGTGCTGTGGCAATCATGAATCCCAGAGTGAAACCGCACTGGCCAGTGATTTGGCGCGTTGCACGAGTACAGCTGCAGGTGCAGCTCAGAGCAGTCACCCCAAGCCTTTCAGCGGATGGCTGCAGCTGCTCTCCCGATTGCCTCCTTGCAAGTTTCGGCTCCGGACCTCGTCAAGGATGCGAACCGGGGAGTGAGACTTCTGTGTGCCGCAGTGTGCGATTTCAAGCAGAAAAATGGACACTTGCAATGCACCCGCCGTTTGGCGTTGGCCACAACCAGAAAATACGAGCGGCACACTGGCGACCCAGACGAAGCATTTGCTTTCGCTGCACTGTCTCATGCCTTCACTGCTTCCTCGAGCTGGGCCTGGAAGCTGACGCTCTCTACAGAAACTTTTGGAAGCCGAAAGAAAGCCGTTGCCAAGAGTATTGAGGCAAGTGGGACACTTGAGCTGAATTTTCTCGAATTACATACAAAGGGGCACTCCGCGGAAGCCTACGCAAGCCTACGCGAGATGCATTTTCACAGATGTTCAGCCTACGCGGAGGCAGTTCCTACGCAAACGCGGCGCCCTTTTCGGCATCTATGCGGAAAAGCGCAGGCAGTCCATTTCCAGCGTCCGCGGCGGGCGCTACGGAGCTCAAAGGAACCCAACATGGCAACCGTTTGGGCGGTGGCTTTTGCGGAGGTTGGGTTGGCGAAACGACCGTGCACCTAAAACCAACCCAAGTATTACCATGTTGGTATGTGTCAGGCAGAACCCCGAAATAGAGACGGTCCCTTTGGCTCCCTGTAAAAAGTGTTCCCTCCAAACAGGACAAACCCATTGTCGCAAACTCCTATGTGGGAGGCATCTGGATCACAACAGAAATCGATAAATCGAGCCGAGTTGCCTTGTCTGCCTTGAGCTTCTCCACTTCGGTCCTGCGGAACGGGCCCCGGAGAACCTGACCCACAAAAATCGTCCAAATGAGTTGCTAGACGCGGCTGTTCAACGAGCCCAAACGTCTCCGGCCCAAGAAACGTCCATGGGAATGGAGTTCAATGCTTCAAAGAGACACCCAGATAAAAGGTGGCATTCCGACCATAGAGTTCTGACATACGAATTACGCACAAATGGCTGTGGGTCAAAAATAGGTACCCAAAATGGCACCCTGGTAAACGGAAACGATGACTAAGACCTGTGGTCCATATCCTGGTGGTTTAATTTTGACCCATACCCAAATGGGGGACTGGGAAACGGCTGGGACAAGCAGCAAGCAAACTCTTAAAAAAAAAAAAAAAAAAAAAAAACGAGGCCCAAAGGCACCGACTCTTGGCCCCATCCGGAAACTCAGCTGGTCAACAAAATGTGGTAGCCGTGCATACAAGAAACTTGTTGCCCATGGGAAATTGTGGGTTTGCGGAGCTCTCCTGAGGTCCACAAAAATATGTCCCCTCAGCTTGCTTGCTGCTGGAAGAAGCTATGTTGGTGACACCTCAACCAGAAATGGGAGTGCACAAAAACGATGAAAGGGTCCCAATAGTCGTACCCAGTTCGACTGGCGTCCTTGCACCCAACGGATCCTCACAAGTCGCTATCGCATGCCTCATGACACAATTTGAGTTTTTGACGAAATAGGAATCGGAACCCCAAAAATATAAGGCTTCACTTTGGTTTCCTTTCAACCAACCCAAAAGGGCACCAAAACTCAAAAACACACAAACCCATTTGAGTTGTAATCAACACCTGGTATTTATATTAGTCTATACCCGGAACCATGCTTCAAGAACCAAACAGACAGATTTCCGAACCCATTTGTGGTTGGGACTCTCGCCAAATCTTCATCTACCCGGTTTCAGTCTTGAGCACGTGGCTCATTTCCGTTTGGGCATCTTTCTCTCTTTTCCCCCTCCTGAGCTTGGCCAACTCCGCTTCATCCACGGGCTTCCCGAACTCTCCACGGTCAAAGCGCTCTTGCTCCAGAAGCCACTGGCGCCCGCTCGGACGAGGCGCAAAGGCTTCCATGTCATGGCCCAAACGGGAAACTCGGATCGTTTGCGTTGATGTGTCCAACCGAAAAGGGTCTTGAGAAACTCCCACGATGAATCACGACAAAGCAAGATACACCAGGCTCTGTTTTCCTCTGTTTTCGAGGCTTCTTCTCGTAAAATTGCTTCGTCTCAGGTTTCTATGCGTCGCTACGACACGCTGCGAGCAGGCAAGCCAGAACATGTTCAACAGGCCTTCATCATGAACTCCGCAGGGTCATCAGGACACTTGATGAGCACCGCTGTGACCAATGCCTCAAATGGGATTCGCACAGCGAGTCGAGTTCATCGGTCCATCGGTCCATCGGTCCATCAGTCCATCGGTCCATCGGTCCATCGGTCCATCGGTCCATCGGCAGGCGGCAGATCATTTGACAGGTCTGCGAGAAGCTGTCATGCACTCCGGCCTCCATGATCGGGTTCATCTTCTCCTGCGGGCGGATCGGAGCTCCGATCCGAGATGCCGAATCGAAGCACGCAACAGCCAACAAAGCCGGGATTCTGTCGAAGCAGAGCAGTCGGTCTGGCCGAGTCAAAAGGCGATCTCTCTCTGGAGCCTTGAGCTTCCAATGGCTGTCTGCTTTGCAGTGCCTGAGACCTTTGGACAAAAGTTTGGATGCTAAAAGCAAACGAATTTAGGTGCAACTGCCATCTTAGCAGGGCAATAAACTGAATTTGTCTCTGGTTGAGAGCGTGCAACTCATTGCATTTAGTATAATTTAGGTTGCGCCCGATCATCAACGGTTTTTCTTGGGAACGTTTGAGTAGCACCAACATCCAGCAAGGGAACAGTCTGCTGTACCTACTCAACCTGAGGCCATGCAGAAGGGTCAGTGGGCCGCGCAGCACCTGGCGCATCGATCCATCCGCACTGGCGAATCGGATCGGCAGAGCCAAGTGCCGAGCCCATGAATTCGAAGGGCACGCGCTGTGCCCTCAACATCCGAGCACGATGACAGCCCCTTGATCCCACAACCCTGACAGCTGTCACTGGGGCAAAAAAAAAGGAAATTCCGGTGTGCCCAATGCTACTCCCATTGTAACGGTACAGATGAATTCTTGCCCCCTCAGCGCCCGACGACATGTGGGCATCCTCCGCATCTGACCATGCCTTAGATGGGGAAACAAAAAAAGCGAAATGGCTGTGGGTCAAAAATAGGTGCCCGTTGTGGGAACCCTGGTAAATGGAACCAAAGACTAAAACCTGCGGTCCCCTGGTGGTTTAATTTTGACCTATACCCAAATGTAAGCCAGAGTCAAAATGGGTGTTGGTGAAAAATAGGTATCCAACATGGAGCCCTGGTAAATGGAAAAGTAGACTGAAACCTGAGGTCCCCTACCCAATGACTTGTTCCCCCAAGAAATTGGAGATTTCGGGATCGTCTGCTGCTTGTGGTTGTCCAATTACTCCCTGGAAAAGAAAAAAGGACATGTTGACTGAACTTGATGCCAACCAGACTCCAAGGGAAAAACAACACGCGGTCGCGGTCGCTCGCTAGGCCTCTCACTCTGCCTTGTACAGGTCGCATGGCATTGCGCCTCAGGCATGTCTCGGCTTCGGGAATGTTTGGGGAGCTGGGTGAAACCGTGAAACCGGGTGGGCTGGAAAGGACCCTGCATTTGGGGAGAAAAGGTAAGATGGAGGTCAACAGCATGACTCTTGAGCGCCCTCGGCTCGGGGACGCCGCCAGGGCGAACGAGAGCCACCTGATCTGGTGCCGGGGCTTCTTGCCTGCGCCGGAAGCTTTGGAGCCGACATCTGGCTGTGGCTCAAAAAACCGGAATTCCGAAATGGGTTGCCCTGGTTTTCGTGGAAGCATGGACCAAAACTGCGGGTTGCCCCTCCAACCGCTTAATTTGGAGCCACACCCATCTGGCTCCAAAATCAGCTGCAAAAGCAGCCGAAAAGCAGTGGCCACAATTGTGACCCACCCCCCTTGCCTTGGTAACAAAAAATAGGGTCGACCCAAAAAAACAGTGCAGAGAATTGACTGGCCGGAGACCCGCACTACTTCTGGCTGGGCCCGAACCTTCTAGCTCTTGATGGCTAAGAAATGTCCAGATCTAGCTTGAAAATGCGTCCCGCCTGCATCTCCCGACTTCTCTCCATGACAGACGGGACCGGCAGGCGCAGGTAAGTCCCACTGGGACGGGCCTTGGAAGACTCCTACTGTCTGGCGTACGAAGCACGGGCTCAATGGGCTTGATTTTCTGGGCCCTTTGGTCATCCAAATTCGGAAAGTCAGGTCCACCAAGGAGGTGGCCTCTTCAAATGACCAAGTCTAAGTGACTCTGGTACGAGTGTGTGTATTTGCACGCGCGTGGGCGCCAAGCTGTACAGGAAGCAGGTGAGAGCTGATTCGCGGCTTTGGGCGCGTCCTCGCATCAGGGATCTGAAAGAAGACCAGCCAAAGGTTTAGAACATGAGGCAACCGCGCGCCCATTGACTCTTGGTTCAGCAGAACCCAGCAAAATGGGTGTGGCTCAAAATTAAAGAGCTAGGGTTACGCAGGTTTTAGTCTTTGATTCCACTTGCCAAGGGTGCCATTTTGGTACATGTGTTTGAGCCACAACCAAATGGAAAGAAAAATCGAATCCGTTTTTGGCGCTGGGAGGTCACGCAGAAAACTTGGAACTCCTGCACAGATATCGCGGGCGCGGGGGCAGCTTCCGGAAGCGTTGGCTCGGCTTTCTCGGCTTTAGGTGACCTGCGCAAAGACGCGAAAAACGCAATGGGTGCGCCTTTCTTTTTTGGGAACCCTTTTTGGAGTAGTTTTCAAGGGAAACCAGAGGTCTCAAAACACCACGCATTGCGGGTACACCTACAAAAGTGGGTTTGTTATGTCTCCTGGAAATCCAAGTCTTGGACAATTGGACGACACCTGGTAGCCTGGTAGCCTGGCCCTGCTTTGCCAAACACCTGCCTTGGTTGCCTCATTGGACTAATGGCCGCTGCAAAGGCGGCAGCAGCTGCGTTCATGATGCTGGGGCTCTTGGGTGTCGCCTGCCGGCAAAAAGCAATTGCCATGCAGCTGCCATGCTGCCGCGCACCTGAGCTCTCCAGCTCGAACGCGTCTGGGACTTTGTGGATGGCGTCTCTTCCTGCACCCAAGGAAAGGAAATGGTTGCGGCAAGGAAACCATGTTGCCACCACATCGCATCAAACAAAAATCTGAATGAAGCTGCATGCCCTCTGATCTTGCCCGGTGCCTGTGGCACTTCGGACTCTGCATCAATCACCTGCAGAGAGCACGCCGAAGAATCCGAAGAATCGACCGGAACCTTCGAAACCGCCCGACCACCGTCCTGTCTGCCATAGAAACCTGGCTGTGACCCCTGCCTCTATTTGCAGTGACTCTGACTTCTCCGACTTCTCCTGGCAGGGAAAGAAGAAACTTTATGTTTTGTCTGTGGCTGTGTCTTTTTTTCTTTTTCTCAGGGACCATTTGATGGACATCGACGCGGGATTGGGTGTTCCACAACCAACTTTCGGTGGGTCCCTCTTCAGGCTCATAGCTCACGCCTCCGAGGCCGCCCTGCTAAACCTCGAAGGTGATGCCTCGCAAAGTGCTCACTTGGCGACATCCGGCCGGCCCACTGCGAAGCCTGGCCTGTGTGCACGACTTAGGCGATGCCTCAGGCGTTTGCCCTCTGGCTATGGAACTTTAATAGGGCACCACCTGGTGGGTGGACAGGAATCTCAAACCTAATTTTGATGTCCACCAAACGGGTTCCTAGTCAATATTCACAGCCACTTGATTGGTTTCTACTTCATGGGTTCCTTTCAGATGCGCCACACAAGCTGGAACCGTGGAACCCGTTGAACGGGTCCCCCGACTTCGAACCCAACATCGTCTCGTTTAAGCTCAGGGCAAACTCCGAACGCAGCTTCTTCGGAGAATTCGAGGCTCGAGAGCGCAGCGCCTGCCAGAAACTATGGTGAGCCATGGTCAAATAGAACCTTTGTTTAACACCTTGGGCTTCATACCAACACAACTCTCAGTTTCTCTTGTAGGTGTGCTTTTTTGAGGGTACCCCCGTTTCACCTTCGTTCCAATCCTTTGGATTCCCCACCATTTCGAGACACGCTCACATGCCCAGCCATCGCCGCGCTTGCGAGCCCGCGGTTCCTCATTCTCCTTGCGCAGCTCGAGATTCTCCGCCATGAGAGCATCGTGAGCTTCGATCAAGTCGGGCAGATCGATCCTGATAACCAACAAAGCTGACTCATGTTCACCCTGGTTTTAGTGGGGATTTAGTCCATTTTTGGAGGGAAACACCCTGATATCAACAAACAGGGGTTTATAAATCCGGGGTCAACATTACCCAACTCATGATGTTTGAGGCAAGGAAGCGCAGCTTTGATTCATCAACCCATCAACTGGATTTGATCCCACGGGCCGCCAACGGAAATGAAAAGAAAAGCCGAAAAGGCGAGACATGAAATCCGGGAAATGGGGAAACAAAGCCGGGCCCTTCTGTTCGGACGCCCGATGTGTGTGTGTGTGTGTGTTTTTTTTAGGGAATCCAAACGCATCTAAAGGTTCTCTAGAAAGATTCGGATTCCTGGAAATGGAATTGGAAGCTCCCCCTAGAAAGGCGGAGACCCCCGCAGTCCAAAAGCCCCGACGCCTGCATCCAGACCTGGCGCGCTGCAGCAGGTGCTCCAGCCTCGGGCTTGGCCAGAGACACGGCGTCCCAACTAACCAAAACGCAGACGGGGGGTGGTGCTCAAAAATCGCGAAACCCCAAAATGGGTTGCAACCGGGAAATGGAAACAAGATAAAACCTGCGGTCCATCTCCTGGTGGTTCTTCTCTTTTTCACCCGTACCCGTATGTTCCCTCAAAATGGGGCTCTTAGCTTCCCTTCAAACCAACTTGAAAAGGGGTACCCTGACACAAAACACAAACTCATGGGGGGGACACTTTCGTGAGCACATTTAGGTGACTTCTGAGGTGGTTCCCCACTAAGATTCATAGCCCTTGGAGCCACAGCCAATACTAATTGTGTCCAGCTTTGACATGGGAATTGGGGGGTAACCCCAAGTTCCACCTGGTATTTTGGGGAGTGTGCCCCGTGTCGTTCCCTTTGCTACAGTAGATGATAGCAAATAGTGACCAGTGCTTTTCTGTTTGATTCTGGCAACTACATTTAGCTTAGAATGTGACAGAATCTCAAAAAAGGTGAGGATGCGAGGGTATGAAATTCAATTGGTTGGGCCCCGGCCGTGAAACCAACCAGAACCCTTACAAAAATGGCTCCAAACAGGACCATGATGGGAGGGGAGGGTACATAGGAATTCATGTCTGCCAATCATTGAAAAGATTTCCCGCCTTTTGGTTCTCAATACCAAGTTCACCATCAACGCCATAGGCATCTGGTCATCTAAACCATCTTCGGCTCAAGAACTGCCCGTGAGCTCTTACTTGGTATGTGCTGGCTAGGTTTGCCGGAGCTGGATTTGAGCACAAAACGACGACACTACTCATAGCGCTACAACGCCGCTGCACAGCACAAAAAACCAGAGGCACCAAATGGAGCGGCAGGAAGATTGGCAGGATTGAAATGAAGTGGAGCAGCGGATGGAGAGAGACGCCTCAGGGCAGACAAGAGGAAGACCAACCCGGGCCAGACTTCTGAGGAAGTTGTTGACGAGGACGTCCAGGTTCAGTGCTTCTTTGAAAACCCCGGTCAGGCCCCTGGGCCTGGGTGGTTCGGCACTGACAGATTGGGCGAGCCCTTGGGTGCAGCGCCTTGGTTGCTGCAGGGTCGCAACTTCTGCCAAGTTAAGTCAGCTAGTGGTCTCCTTCTTGGCCGCAAAGGAAACGCTGCGCCGAGGGCTGAGCTCATGCATTTGCGGAATGTCTTGACACACCGCGAGCCTTGGACAGGTTCATGTTGCTGTTAATGCCCATGGTGTCGTGAAAGCCCGGCAACAGTTGCGTAAACTGTCCCTTGAAAGGGTTGCAGAATCTGTGGGCACAGGAAGATCGCTTTGCACCAGCCACTTGAGGGATGAGTTGGCACGCCAACGCCTAAAGGCGGCTTCGCGGTTTGCGAGCAAGGGCCACTGGCGCGGCTGTCGAACAGCATGCTGTATGGGTTGAAGTCTGAGCTTGGACGCTCAACCAGTGGTTATGGATGAAATACTGGCACACAAAAAGTGGCCTGAAGAGCCCAAGACCGTAACAAGGTTGAAACCAGACACGCATTGATCGCCAGCAGAGAGGGCATGAAGGGAGGAAGCGAAATATGTGCAGCAACTGTAGCGTGGCCCTCACAGACTACGAGAAGCTCAAAGTCTTGGGCAACACCCTGGCTACCAACTGGGATGCGGGAGGTTGGCAAAACCAAAGTCTGCCCCCTCCATTCCTCCCAAGGCACCAGGCAACGGGGCTGGCCGAATTCCCCAAAGGCAGCGCTCAGGCGTGACTGGCTGGTTGTTTTCTCTTTAAATCAGAATTCACCCTCTAAAGGTGTCTCTTGAAATCGTGGACCCCCTTCTAGTTGGTATTTAGAGGGCAACCAAAAGGAAACCCACCATTTCAGGGGCCACTGTTTTGAGAGATCCCCATCTCAACCATCTAAGCCCTTCTAAACACACCAAGCCATCTAAGCCGTCTCAGCCGTCTAAGCCGCAGTTTGCCCCACAGCGTATCAAATACCGTCTAGGGCTGCCACCCACCGGACTCGCATTTACTCACTTCCACAGGTTGCTGTCTTCCCAGCAGCGCTTCCAAGCGAAGGCTGCCTTGGAAAGCCAGGAAAAAAACCTATCGCCCCGCCATTCAACACTGGTAGTGTGTGTGTGTGTGTGTGAACTCAGTGACCCTAAATGGGTTCTAAGAAATGGGTAGGATGCAAACAAAATGATTTTCCTTTGGTGATGGCTGGAACCCGTTTATTAGAACCCGTTTAGGGTCCCCGGAGTAAGGCTGCGGCTGCCATTTAAGCTGCCTCCTCCCCTTTCCTCTGCCATCTCAGATCGCTCTCCGTCGTCATCCTTCTCCTCTCCCTCCTTCTCCTCCTCGATTTCATCCTGGGGAAAATTACATCTGAGGATTGGCCAGAAACGAGTCGCTTCGTTGCAAGGATTTGCTTTTTTGTACATCTGCAGCTCCTGTCTTTGGGAGCTGAACATGCGTTTCTTGCATGAGAAGGCTTTGCCTCATGTCTGACTGCCATAGGTCCAAGAAAACCTTCTCACCCTGGCATCTGCCTCGGCTCATTCTATGCACAGCGCCTCCGCCAGTAGGAGGCGCACTTCCTGGCGGTGCATCTTGAAAAGCGGCGTCGCCGGGCTGGCGGCTGCAGGCCGCGCCACGCAGCGCAAGGGCCGCTCCTTTGCATCCGGCGACAGCTCCCGCAGCGCCGTGGCAAAGCGCGGGGCCACGTAGGACCACGGGCCCATGTTCTTTGGCTCCTCCTGAACCCAGTACAGCTCGGCATCTGGATACTGGCTGCACACCACTGCCACGCTCATTGCAGGAAAAGGCGCCACTTGCTCCAAGCGATGCAGCATCACGGTACCTTCAAGGCAGCGCGCTGCACGGGCGTGATGCAAATCGTAGAACACCTTCCCGCTGCAAAAGATCAGCCTTCTGCAGCGCTTGGTCGAGACCGATGTGCTCATGTTGTCGCCACTGCTGCCTTCCTGGATGAGACGCTGAAAGCGTGTGCCAGACACCATGTGCTCCAGGGGTGAGCGGCAGGGCCTATGGTGGAGCAAGTACTTCCCAGTCATCAGAATCAGGGGCTTGGCAAAGCTTCGATGAACTTGGCGTCTGAGAACATGAAACAAATTCGCAGGCGTGGTGACATATGCTATCATGATGTTCCGGCAGAAGTCGAAGCTCTCTTGCAGCAATGCCAGGGAATGAACGCTTTGCTCCCTCTCCCGCGCTTCTCCAGATCTAATAGCATCAAGCACCCGCTGCACAGCAGCTTTTGCCTCTTGCTTCTTCTTCTCCTCCAGGGCCTTGTCTGGCGCCGGCCAGAGCATCTCGGGGTCCTCATCCACGAGCTGCAGAAAGCGCTCCGGGCGCGCGGAGGAGTGCTCGGGGCCCTGGCCCTCCAGCCCGTGCGGCAGCAGCATGACCAAGTTGCTGAGGTTTCCCCACTTCTGCTCGCCGCTGGCGATGAAGTTGTCGATGATGGGCTGGGCGCAGTTGGCGAAGTCCCCGAACTGCGCCTCCCACATGGTCAGAGCCAGGCCGGCGCCCTCCTCAAGGGAATAGCCATACTCGTAGCCCAGGATGGCGAGCTCTGAGAGGGAGGAGTTGCAGATCACAGCCTCCGATTGCTCCCCAAGGCCCAAGTCGCTCAGCATACTGTGAGGCGTCGCGCTGTTCTGGTCATAGATGATACTATGCCTCTGGTTGAAGGTGCCTCGCTCGACATCCTGTCCTGACAGTCGCACGTGGCACGGCGGATGCACCACGTAGTGCAGCTCCTCCTCCGTCAGTAGGCCCGTGTTGGGCGCCTCGTGCCGCTTGGGGTCAAAGCGAAGGGTCAAGGAGCCAATCGCCAGAGTCTCCGCCAGAGCCCAGTCCACGCGGCCCGTCCGCAGTTGAAGGCGCCTCGCTTGGAAGAGCTTACACACCGTGGGGTGCGCCTTCACGTGCTCCGGGATGCGGCAGGTGGCCTCGCCGATTTGGGTCAGCCACGACAGAGGCAGGCCCGTGAGGTTCACCGGCCGCGTCTGCGCGTCGTGGATCTTCCAGTCTTGCAGCCCCACGCCCAGCTGCGAATACCGGTGCTCTGCCTCCGGTCAGGCATCAGAAAAAACACAAATAAGGGTCAAAAATGAACACCCTCTCAGGATCAAAACACAAACAAATAGGTATCAAAAGAAAAACCGACCATCATCTATTGCACAGACATCAGCTTTCGTGAGGCACACAAGAACACAACCCACGATTCTACTTTGTGCGTAGCATGCACCACATCTCCTGAAAGGGTTGGCAGTTTATTCGGCAAAGAGTGCACTTCTCGCTTAGATGCATCCACCAGTCAAACTGCTATCTGTATCAAAGTCAAAACACGGGGGGTTGCAGGGGGGGTTGGCGGGTGAACACAGGTTTCGAAGCAATGATAATTCGGGAAGGGTAGCACTGCTCCGTCAGGGACATCCACCGGCGCAACTGCTTAAATACATATCAAAACACTAGCAGGAGGTGTTCGAAGCAGTGATGATTCGGCGAACGGCTTCTTCGTATCCATGGAGAAAAAAACAGAAAAAAACGCAGGGTGGGGGGGGCTTCCTTCCCTCCATCCCTCCCTCCCTCCCTTCCTGCATGATGTATTGTTTTCTATTGATGCCTATTTGTTGTTCAGTCATCTCCATTTGTTTTCTTTCATCCCTTGTTGTTGCTTGAGGCCTATGCCCGCCTCCAGCTCCTCGAAGATCTGGTCCACCTCCGCTTCCACGTCCTCCTTCTTGACGATACCCGCCTCCACCAGCACCGCGCAGTACTGCTGCGCCACCGGCGGGTGCCGGTCCATGCGCTCCTGCGTCAGCGGCTGAGTCAGCGAGGCATCGTCCACCTCGCTGTGGCCTTCCCGGCGGTAGCAAACCAAGTCCACGACCACGTCCTTTCGGAAGACCTGGCGGTGGTTGTGAAAAATAGGGTCACCCCCAAAATGGCACGCTGGTAAATGGAAACGACTCAAACCTGTGGTCCATATCCTGGTGGTTTAATTTTGACCCATACCTTCATACCCACCTGACGGTACTCCGCGGCCAACTTGGCAGCAAAGATGACGGCATCCACGTCATCCGCGTTCACATGGAAGATCGGGGCATCGTTGACTTTGGCCACGTTCGTGCAATGGTAGGAGGAGCGCGCCGCACGCGGATCTGTGGTAAAACCCACCATGTTGTTGATGATGAAGTGCACCGTGCCCCCGGTGGTGTAGGCAGGGAGATCAGCAAGTTGCAGGCACTCAGAGATGATGCCCTGGCCACAGAAGGCTGCGTCACCGTGAATGAGAACGCCCATGACACGCAGCATGTCTTGGTCGCCCATGTAGTCCTGCTTTGCCCTGGTCATGCCAAGCACCACCGGATCCACCGCTTCCAAGTGTGAAGGGTTCGGAGCCAAGGTGAAATGCACGTCCTTGCTTCCCACCGTACAAGCACCGCGAGTCCCCAGGTGGTACTTGAGGTCGCCCAGAAAGTCGTTCTGTTCGCCAAACTCACTGCAAACCTCCCAGACTCTCTTCCCCAGGAAGTTCACCAGCACATTGAGCCGGCCCCGGTGGGCCATGCCCAGCTGCAAGTGCTCCATGCCCAGCTCGCTGGCCTTCTCGGTCAAGGACCACAAGGCGGGCAGCAAAGCCTCGCAGCCCTTGAGGCCGAAGCGCTTGGCCTTCGGAAACTTGGTGCCCAGAAAGACCTCGAGGGTGTCGGCGCGCAGCAGCCGGTGGAACGCGGCTTTGCGGGCACCGGGGCAGGGGCCGCGGGATTCCACGCGCTCTTCTAGCCACCACCTCTCTGAAGGATTGTCGATGTGCTGGTGCTCCATGCTGAATGTTGAGGCATAAGCACTGTGCAGGCGATCGACAAGACTCCTGAAGGTCCAAACGCCGCTTGGCGCCTCACCCCAGAAGGCAGGCACCTCCACGCCTGCCGGCAGTGGGTCTGTCTCTGCGAAATCTTCAAGGGCAAAGACACCGAGGTCGATTCTCTCCGGATACTCCCGAAGTAGCTGGTTCACATCGATGCTGTGAATTTTCTGACCATGGCGGCCACCGACTCGCCAGTGGACGGGCTCGTCTGGAGACAGCTTGCGAGACTGCTTCCCCCGCAGCGGGTCCAAACACGCCGCCAGATGGCCGCGATGTCGGAAGGCCTGTGCCAGGCGGAAGATCCGCACGGAGGCGTGCCAGTCTCTCAGCAGCCTGTCCTCGCCAAACGTCTGCAAGGGATTGCTGGTGCAGGTTCGAGCTTGCCATAGTCTCCTTGAAGGGTCAGCCAAAACCTTGCGCATGCAGGCGGCCCATGACAGCCCAAGAGCCAGGCAAACAGCTTGAGCCAAATCCTCCAGCACACGATGTTTGTTGTTTGCCACTCAATGGTTTTCCCACACAGGACAAAGTCCACGAACTTGGGGAGAGAGAAGAATCAACCCGCTTGCTCGGTTGGGTTCTGGCCCGATGCCTCCAGCCTCGCAAGCAGTCGCGGCCTCAGCCGGCACGGAAGAAGCTGGAGCTGCGAGTGTCATGATCTAAAGTGATCTGCCCAAAACCCATGGTAAAGAATCGAAGGGGGTGACCTGTCCGTGTTGATTGCGGCTCGCACGAGCAGCGCTCCAAACCCAGTTACTAGAGGTTTATGTGGGCCGTGCAATAACCCGACGTCACCAAAAAAAACAGTAGAAGCACCCACTAAAATGGCTGTGGGTCAAAACCAATGGTACGATTTTGGGATAGGTGCACCACCCATTTTAGTCTATTTTAGTGGGGGTTAGGATGCTCACTGGGGGTACCAGTACCACGGGGTTTTGACCCATGGCCAAATGGCCAAAAGGGGGGTTGAGGCGCTTATCGATTACCAGCCTCACGTGAAAACCCGCTCGATGCCAAGTCGCATAATCTGCACCACAGAGGTCGCGCAGGTGGATTCTCGTGGGGCCTCGCAGGCATGCGCTTGACCGTGGACCTAGGGGGGCGCTCCCCTCGAAAAGCGATGAGTCCCTAAAATGCACCCCCTATGAATCAACCCAATGAATCAAGCAGGGGTTCTGGGGTTCCCACTCGCTGAATTTGAGCGTTCTCCTTTACGCAAATGAATTCCAAGGACATCGGAACATCTCGAACCCCATGGAGGGTGCATTCTCCAAACGCTGGAAAAACTCCCACCCGAGAACCCACAAGTCCAAAGGCGGAAAGGCGGCCTTGGGAGACGCCTCGGGACCACGGCCCTCGGTGATCTCCTAGCGGCCGGGGCGACCGTGCAGCTTCCCCCAAATGGGTTCGGAGCCCTGCAAGAACCAGGAGTTCAAATCAATCCACATCCAAATTACCAACTGAAGGTTGCCTGACAATGGGGATTTGTTCGACGCCGGGGGAAAAAACACCTCCAACTGGCCAACAGGTGGATTCGTTGAGAAAACGAACCCCTCTTTTTTCCCTGACCAGCAAGAACCCCATTTTCCTGCGCTCAAAAAGCTGAGCACCATCCCTCGCACCGCCCTCCTGCCAGACTGGTATCAGCCTGGAGCAAATGGAAGCCGGACGTCTCTGACCAAGTCCGGAGCGCTAGGCTTCCGGCGCATCAAAGAACTCCTCTGCCAGGAACTCTTGGGTTTGCTCCAGTTCCATGTGCAATGCCTGGCGATCTTCGGAAGAGAGCCGTCGGATTCCCAGTGCAAGCTTGCGCAGCGTCTACACCCTCCCTCAGTCATCATGTGAAGCGAGTTGTCCTTGTTGTAGCTCCCAGACACACAGAAACGAGCGGCCAGAGTTCTGCACGACGTGAGCGCGGCCTTCTGCGGCAGCCCACGGCATCGTTGCTCCGGCCCTCTGACACACGTCAGCAACCGCTCAAAGCCTCGGCCAGCTGTTGAATTCCATTTCCAAATCGTCGGCTGACATGCAAAGCAGTCAGCGAATCCAATACGATTCGGCTCAAAACCTATCGGTCAAAGTGAAAGCGTGCCAAAGAAGACCCCTGGGAGTTTCTCAAAATGGACAAACTAAAGGCCCCGAATGCACCTTTCAACCCGCTGCCTTTTCGTCAGCGGCTTAGGTCACTTTGGACCCGCGAGCCGGTCGCATTCAAAACCTAATGTAACCTACCTGAGCCACGGTCAATATTTGGGGGTTGGGCCCCGAGTTTTGAACATGGGTAACCTTTCCCGTGTGAAGAAAGTTATGTTTTTGTTTGGTGTTTTCCCTGGTGGTCATCCCACGTTTTACGGACATTTGATCAACCCCTATTTGTTGTGTCCGCCCATGACAGGGGAGGTTGGTGAGTAACCCCAATTTGCAAGAGAAATTTGGGGAGTGTCTCCCTGTTATCTATCCCCTTTTCTACAGTTGATGACAGGAAATATTGACCGTTGCTCATGTGAAGAATTAAACAAGCTTCTTGCCCCACCTATTTCTTGCTGGGGCTCAGTGTCCCTTACCTAACATCTACTCGGGTTTTGATTGTGGCTCATCTACGACCACGGCTCTAAACTCATCCCAACTGCCGCAAAACTTGTCGTAGCTCTTCCGCATCAGCGCTGCAAGCGGAAACCTAGCGAGAGAAACCAAAAACTGTGTCCATCTGATTCAAGGCAGCGGACTCAAGAAGCTTTGACCCGTCAAGGGCAGAATGAAAAACTTAGCCGGAAACCTTGGTTCCCTAGACCTGCTTCTTCATGATATGGCCATGGGTCAAAAGCCAAATCGTACCCCAATCCCCACTAAAATAGACTAAAATGGGTGGTGCACCTATCCCAAAATCGTACCATTGGTTTTGACCCACAGCCATATTGCAAGAAACAGGTACACTGAATTGGAGCCACCCATCTTTTCGCCAAGCAGCTGTTCTCGTTGGCCCTGGCTCACGATAGATGCCTAAGCCGGCCGGTTGAAACCGCTCGGGACTCGGTACCCCTAAAACGAAAACCATCAGGACCGCCGTGGCACGATTTTGGGGTGCGCCCTCAAAAAAGACACCCCCAAGTTTGTTCAAAACCGCAAACCTGCGGAAATCCCCGTGGCAGCCAGCGGCGAGTCCACTTGCAATAGTGAGCCCATATCTGTCGGCTTGGGGCGAGGCCTGCAGAATCACCTCGTCTCACACATCTGAGCATGTAATCGATGCTTTCAAGCCGACGAACTCTGCCGCTTGAGCAGCGCCCCAAGCCCATTGGCTTTGATTTGTTTTTATCGGCCTCACTATTTTGATTAAACCAGGTAGGAGTTGTTGAAATTGCCACCCAAGTTCCGGGCGCTGCTCACTTGGATGTTTCTCAAAATTCGAGCCTCCTTTTTGGAAGGGGTCCCGAATTTTAAGACACGCCCACTTGTTTCATGCAGGTGGCAGGCTTCCTCTCCTCCACCGCTGCAGCCACTTCTTTCGCCACCCTGCGGCTGTCCGCGTCGGCCAACTGCGCAAAGACCTCGAAATCCGCGGGATCCAGCGCCGGGCCGTTTCTGCGGCTCGTTTCACATGGATGTCTCTCTTTTTAGGGAACCCAAAGCTTTCTGTGACAGTCTTTGGTTGGTTTCAAGGGGAAAAGGACATCCGTTGCGCAAATCTAGAAAGTTCCCGTAATTTCAAGACAAGCGGTTCGAATCTGTGGGTCATGGTCATGGTTTCACTGGGAATCCCTACCATGATTCATGACCATCCCTACCCCAAGCAAAGGAGCAGGTGTTTCAACAATTGAAAAGCTCGTCTGAGGTCCAAGCGCAAAAGCCCATAGACATGGTGTCCAAGTAGCTGTTCTCCTCCCCAAGACACTCAGAACGCGAGCAATTGTTGTAGTCTCCGGACTGGGTCCCAAAATGAAAGAACGGTCTGCCTCGTGGTTTCCTACTTTACGCTGAGCCTCAACAAAGGCAGACCCACCTGTCCTGCAGGTTGATGAAGATGTCGGAATTGCCGTTGACACCAATACCGTGTGCAATGGAGACAGTGCCAGCTTGATTGGATATGAAGGTCCCGATGTTGGTTTCCTTGGAGGCAAGTTGATTGTCGTCATCAGGCATTGCGCGGTTCTGGAAACGAACTGGCTGTCATAGTCTGAACCCAACCAAGATACCATTTCACGGCTACAGCAAGCGGCACCTCTTAGAACGCGGCATTCTCCGCTAGCTCCGGATATGGGTTCTCGACCTTGCACTGCCAGGCTCGAAGCCTTCGCTTGCACCTTCCAACCCCCAGCCTCGGTCTCCTCAGGGAGCCAAAGGCCCCACCTGAAAAGCGCAGGGCACCATGGTTTGACTCGACGGCAACTCCCAGGAATTGGTTTCCTTTCGAGATAGAAGCGGTGGTTAGACTGGGAAGCCGGCTGCAATACAAAGTCCGAGCGGTAAAAGTAGCAACCGTCATACAAGCCGGCATCCACCAAACGGCCTTGTGCAAGATGGCGTCTGGCTCATGAAGCTTCATTATCTCTCCACTTTGGGGTCCCAGCAAACATGCTCCACCGTTCGCGGCGCTGAATCCGGGCGAAGTATCATTTTGATGCTGCCCAAGTCAGTCCTCAACATCAAGGTGCTTAGATGCCAAACGGGCAGGCCGGAATGCAGCTTGGTCACTCAAGCAGGAGATATTTTGTTGGAACCTCCGCCTGCGGTACTTCGGAATCAAAGCTCAGCTGGGGGTGTCTCAAATAGTGGTGTCGCCGAAAAGGTCGGTATTTTTTGGTCTCCCGTTAAATACCAAAAATTTGAGAACCCCCCCCCCCCCAGCTGAATGCGTTTGAGACACCTGAGAATCGTCACAGGGTCGCGCAACCACGCGATGCCGCACGCTGCGGTGCCGTCCGAATCCAGCAAGAGTAAGCACCTCAGACTGGCGACTCGACATAACTCCGGCTCCAAACACAACTCCCGCTTTCCTTCACCCCATACGTTGACACCATTGTTTTTGGTATTTACAGGCGAATCGTCATTTCAGGGATTCTTAGGTGGTGCAGGCTTTCGTGCACCCACAGTATGTCCATCATATTCAACCAGAAACGTGGCACAGTGGCACATGGTTGCGGCCTGGACACCATCGGCTGAAGCCGGCGATTGCGGTCTTTTCCGGCGATTGGGGTGCCTCAGTGGGCAACGCACGGAAGTGCAAAGATTTCCCCAAGAATCGTCTGAGTGAGTCCCCTGACTTTGGGAGATTTTGAGGTCGCCCTCCATTTCTCTCCGCAAGGACCATGGACGGTTGGATTTTCTGACCGAACCTGTGACCATTCTGTCCGAGAATCGGCATGCGGACGTGCCAGCCAACGTCGCCTCGGCTGAAGGGATCAAAGCTCCGAGGTTGCATGAAACCCGCTTCCTCTCTTGGCGTGTCTGCATGCTGCCGCAGATGCTACCGGAGCCTCGATGCATGGCGGGCAAGCACGGCGAGGCCGCCATTCAAGGTGCATCCAACGAACAAAATCCCGGGAGTGAAAAAAGGTGTCCGGAAAGAATCTGCGAATTTGATCCCACCTGCAGGGCAAAGGTGCCGCCCAGAGGTGCCACTAGGAGATACCCAACAAGGGCCCCACTTCTGCTGTGAATCTGCGCACGGATCTCGACGAAACCAATGGCCCCACAGGCCTGCGGCCTTTGATCCAAAACGCCGGCCGGGGTGACTCAAAACATGCGACGGCCCCTGGAAAAATAAGAAGAAGAAAAAACGAAATGAGGTCTTGAAGTGTATGGTTTCCTGTCGGAGTCCCTTTGAAAAACACCCACACACACACACACACACCAAAAAAAAGGTTGTAACCCCCTCCCCCCCCCACCCGTCCCCCCCTCCCACGAAACACGCACACCCAGGCGGAAGCAAGCCCTTCGCTCGGTCTCTTTCCGGGGCCCCCAGCAGCTGCGGCCCCGGCGTGGCCTCTGTTGCGATCCGTGGCTGCGACTAAAAAATCCAAGAGCTGGCAAACCGCAGGCTTGAGTCATTGGTCTGAGTCATTGGTTTGAGTCGTTGGTTTCAGTCAGTCGTTTCAGTAATTGGTTTCAGTCATTGGTTTCAGTTCCATTTCCATATGCCAGCGCGCCATTCTGGGAACCATCGGTTGGAGCCACAGCCCATTTGTGGCAAAAAGAAAAAACCAAACTCAGGGAATCGACACCGCCCATAGGCTCGCCCTGGGTTTTCAACCAGACGCAAAAAAACATTGCCGCACCCAATTTGCGGGGTTGCAACTTTCTGTTCCGAGAACCCAACTCCGCTTGGCCAAACATACCCCGCGGGCCGAAGTGATCTCTCAGCTTGGGCGGCTGCTCTTGCCTGTCTGCTCCGTACACCGACACACTCATCAACCGCTGCCAGCGGATGATGCGGGACAGGCCTCGGGGAAATGCACAAACGCTCGCAAGCCCCGCAAATTCCACTGCCTGGACCTCGCAGTCAAGACCTGTGCCCTCTTCGCAAACCATCAAACTGGCAAAAAAGCGCTTCCCTTCCTGTCCAACTCAGAAGCCTCCTTCTTTACCCAAAGACCCCGCTTTATCCTGGTGTCCTTTTGGAAGTGTTTGGAGTTTATGTGGACTTACGCCAAAACCTTCTGCCGGCACGAGCCAATTCGTGGGAACTCCTTTTAGCGGATTCCCTTCCGGTTCCTCAGAATTGTCTCTCTTGGACCCTCACGATGGCTTCGGCTTCCCGGCTTCCCCTCAAAACCCAACCAAAAGAGGGTTCCCCCCAACGACGACAAAGGGCCGCCAATTTGTGAGAAGTAGCCTGAGTCTTCGCGAATGAACCAGAGAACCTTAAAGACAACCAGTTGCTGATGCAATTCCGGCGAAAACTCCCACAAAAGTCCCCAACCAGCCACCCTTTTCTTGGAGTTTCAAATCGAAACCAAAAGGGATCACCCCCTAATTCCGTGTCCAATCCCCATTTTGACACGTAACCCTCTAAGCCACCAACTCCAAACCCCTCCAAACCCCTTTGAACTCCAAACCCACTCGACTCCTGACCTCACCTAGCCTTCCTCCCTACTCACCCAAAACGACCCGACCCACCCGACTCACCCGACTCCCACCCCACTCCCACCCGACTCGACTCGCCCGAAACGGCCACCGGGCGCCCGGGCAGCCTTTGCGGCCCATGGCCTTGTGCTCCCGATGCTCCCGCTCCAGCTGCTCTAACCGCACCGCCCGCTTGCGCCGCGCGCGCCGGCACCTCATCCCACCGAGAGCTCTCGGTGGTCGGTGGACGTCAGTCGATGCGGGCAAAGAAGGCCGAGGCCGCGGAGAAGAAGGAGAGGAAGGCAGGCGGGTTCGCGGCTTTTTTTGCGGCGAAGGGTAATTATGTTTTTTCAGGTTGGGTGTGAGGGGAAACCAAAAGGCGATACATTGGGGGCTTCCCTAGTTTGACACAGACTTGGCTGATTGCGCCTCGGCTGATTGTGCCCCAATTGGAGGAGGGTACAATATGATTGAATCCTGAAAAATATGGGCGGTTGGTTTTGACCAGAAGCTGCACGTGGCAAGGTGAAAACTGTCCACCTTGAAGGCTCCCAGAAACAGACTTCAGGCGACAGCCAATTGTTCAGGCAGCCACTATTTCAGTGTTTCTCAAAATTGTGGACCGCCTCTTAGTCGGTATTTAAAGAAATCAAGAGCAGCCCAACCATTTTAGGGGGCCACGATTTTGAGAAGCGCCAATTTCATTACAAGGGCAAGTGCCAAGTCCAATAAGTTGACCAGAGCGCATAAGCTTCGCTCAACTGATCTCAGGAGTGCACCGCACAAGTGCCTCTTGCACGGCAGCCGCCATGTCTGCGGGATAGACTCGATGATGCGCGTCCATGTAGCGGTGAAGCCTGAGGTCTGCGATTTGCACAGGTAAAATGTGTTTTTTGCCAAAAAAAAGACATCCGAAAAACCAAGTAAATAATTCAAGAGCCTGCATGCCTCATCGAATTGAGACTCGAGAGAAGCCCTCGCTCTGAGACTCCGAGCGTATCGCACATGGCAACAAAGACGTAATCCTTCTCCTGGCTGTGGGCGTATGCCGTGGATTTTGTCAGTCACGTTCATGCTTGCTGAAGTTGGAACACTAAGAGTCGTTCTCCAAAACCCTCATGAAGGGTTCATGAGCCCCAACCGAGCCGGTTTTTGGATCTGCCAAATACATGGGTGCGTGTATTATGGGGGGGTACCCCTATTTCGAGACACGCCCAAATGTTCGGAACAGGATGCGGGGCTAGCAGATCGTCCTCTTTTCTGAGCATGCTGGTGTCGATCCACAGACCTCGCTCATCTTCATCGAACAAAGCCTCTGGGAGAGGCAAGAGTCGAATATGGCCATGGGTCAAAAGCGCGTACCCCCAGTGAACATCCCAATCCCCACTAAAATAGACTAAAATGGGCGGTGCACCTACCCCAAGATGGGATCCCATTGGTTTTGATCCACAGCCATGTCAAAATCACGCAACAAAAAATCCAACACGTCACCTGGCGAGCCTGCCTTCTGCTTGTGGAACTCGAAAGCCAGCAAGCACTTCTGCAAGGTTGTCCTCGTCAAACGGCTTCTCCGTTGGCATTGTCTGGGTAGTTTCTGGGCTCACAGCAGTCTCTCAGGCCAAATGTCCGCTTTCAGGAGCAAGTGCTTCAACACCGTCTGCCTCGCGACAGGCATCGCATCGCCTTTCAGGCAGTGAGGCTCTGAGGCTGAGAGCGGTGCCTGAACAAGCACCACATGGCAAACCACACGAAGGCGGCGTGGGCGAGCAAGGGTCCAGCCCTAAGCCGCAAGCTGAGTTTCGGGGCAGCTCTGTGCGCAAGTGAGAACCCAACAGCCAGGGATGTGGGTGTGGGTCAAAATTGAATCCACCAGGGGACCCCAGGTTTTAATCCCGGGTTCCATTTACAAGGGTTCCATTTTGTGTACTGCAGGTACCCATTTTTGACCCACCGCCATGTTCAAAGTAGGCGAATTGCCTTCCCTGCCCGGCCGCTTGGCAGGTCGAACTCTCCTTTTAAGAGGCGGCACTTGCACGCGTCTTTCGCTGACCGGCCGCACCAGACCCACAAAATGTCGCCATGGTGACGCATTGCATGGGTCCTAACCAATCCGTTCCTTTCAGATGCAAAAAAAAACACAAACTGTTGTCATTTGGTGGATGGAACTCGTTTACTAGGACCCATTCAAGGCCCTGCCCTGATCTATACAACTTTTACAACTCAACCAGGCAGATTCCCAGCACGTTCCCAATTGGACGTGCAATGCGGGCAGCTCCACTTGGGGCAAGGATTCTCGCCAACTTGGGCATGGCCACGAGGATCGCCCGCAGCCCGGCAGAAAGAAGACATGATACTAATCACATTAGTTGCGATGCAGTAAATCTCACAGCAGTGTCCAGTTCTGTTTGCAAGCCTTGGCCAAATCGCCTTGGACTTGGCTTTACAACTCACATTCTCTTGATCCCGTGTGCTAATTCGTCCGAGAAAGTGACTGTACAATGAAGCGATATCCTTTCACAACGTCAGCCCAAACCGTGCACCCGATCAGAGTAAGGTACACCACAAAAAACAGAGCCACAGCCACCCGGGTAAAGACAGAATCTGAGTGCGCATACTGAGCAACCAGGAAGACGTTCACCGCAATCACGATGAGGGCCAAAATCCAGCAGACCACTCCTCTGTGGCGTTGGTGCGGAACCAAAAACTTCAACGGCTTAGTGGGAGAAAAGAACACATCTTCCCAAAAAGCCTAAAAGGCTTCTCATGACGTACGCTGGGGACCCAAAGAAAAGGGTAAAGCAGAGAACTATGAAACCCCTCCGCCGAATCAGCCAAAGGTCAAAGATCCAACCACATTGACCATGGCAATCAAAGATGTTCCCAAAAAGCTAAAGGTCCAAAGGTCAAAGATCCGAGCAAATCGCCAAGACTCGGTACCTGCGTCGCAACGCAAACTTCCCCATCAGCTGGGAGTCCGAGTTGAAGTGGAGTACCGGCAAAAGAGCGAAAGGCAGCTGTACAGACTGCAAGACCTTAGCCGCTTTCTCCCCGCCGGCGCCGGGAAATTGGAGATTCGCAGAAAACAGGCCCAACTCCCCATTTGTTTGTGCGCCGTTTGGGCTCATGTTCAAGGGAAACCACACAGAAACCCAAGGAAACCACTATTTGGGAGAGGGGGCGGGGGCGGTCCCTGGTTTTGAGGCACTCCGACCTGGTGCGGTTTGTGGATTTCGGCCGGACCAAAGAACCAAGAGACGTTGATCCATTGGTCCACTCGATTGTTGAGGTTCGGCGATGTGCTGGTATACACCGCAACTGCAACAGCCGGGCCCAGGGAAAGCAGGCGAGTGATGAGGGTGCGAAGAAACAGCGGGATGCGCCACTCCAGGAAACCTATGGACAGGTGGGTGTGTCTTTGTTTGAGGGCACCCCTTTCTGGTTGTGTTCACAAGGGAAACCAAAAGGACAACCACTCATGTTGGGAGTCGTTGGGAACGTTGATTCCCTGATGATTTATCCCGATTAAAATCCTCTCAATGTAAAACCACTCTTGGCCAGACTGATCCCCTGCAAACAGTTAACTGGGAACATGGGTTTGTCATTCTTGGCTTGAAAGGAACCCAAAAGGAAAACCACTTGTTGGATCCCCGTGTTTATCAAAACCAAATAAATACAGGAAACCCATGGGCAAAAGGCAGAAAGGTCAGTCGAGTGTGGCAACTTTCGCCTTCCATGACATACTGCCCAGCCATAGTGCCAGTCATCGTGGACGCCTGACCTGCAGCCAGCAGTCCTAACGCAAACCTGGGCCAGACGATGCGACCCGCAAGTGATCATCGTTTCGTGTTCTTAACGGGAAAGCAAAGGGAAAACCGTTGCGCCATTTTGGGGGCTCGAATCCTAAAAAAGACACGAAAAGCCAGAAGCAAAAAGCTTAAAGGGACGGGGGGGGTCACCAACATGGGTCCCAATGTCTTTGAGGGCACCCCGTTGTTGCGGTTTTAAAGGGAAACCATTTTTTGGGTGGACACTCAAAAATTGTGTTTTTTCCTGTTGATGACCTTCAAACCCACCCCAAAAAGGTTCCCCTCAAAAAAAAGAGACACGCCCCCAAAAAAAGACCATCCAAGTGCTGTGGCCATGGAACATGCGGCGGCCCGTGTCGCCGTGGTTTCCGAAGAGCCGGTGCAAGGAGTTTCCAGCTTGCCCCAGCCCAATCTCCCCACACTGTCCAACAGTCCCAGTGCCAGTGGTGCAGCTCACACTGGGATCGCCTGCGGCTAAAAAAAGTTTGAGGCTACCTTTAGTTGGGCTGATTCCAAAAACAAAACAATGAGAAACCATTCACTTTCAAGGTCCAAAGCCCTATTTGGGGGTGTGTATTTTTCGGGGACCCCCCCCCCAAACAAAAAAACAAAGTTAGCTTTCCTCTCGGTTTCCCGTTAAAACCATCAAAAAACGGGTACCCTCAACACAAAGACCGACCCCATTTCGACACATACCCACCTCCAGGCACACAGGCGAAGGGGCCGTCGGACGCTTCAGCGCAGGTGGTGCTGAAAAACCCGGTGGCGAAGGTCGAGACCAGCGCCGCGTTGATGAGGAAGGAGATGGCCAGTGCTGCTGCCGAGTCCACTGCTGTGTACTTGTTGGCTTGCCTGACGTGCTCCTGGTCACCTTTATCGCATACACCTCGGAAAACAATGCTGGCACAGTCTGGCAAAGGTATTTCTCAAATAAACCCCTGTATGAAAAGGGAGTGTGCCGTTTTACCGGGAATCCTTCACTTTTATGGGTAACAAACTTAAACTTGCAGGACAGGCTTTCTTGTGGAGGAACGTTCCTCGCAGAGCACTTCAGCTGGGCCCCTGACGCTGCTTGCAGATGCCGCTGTGCAGGTACAGGTTGTGAGGCATGATGACGGCACCGACAGTACCCACCAGCTGGACTGTGGCGTAGTCGGGGCAGCCAAACGTAAAGCCGCTGAAGAAGTCGCTGGCACTGGGCGGCATGAAGAAAAAGTTCACCAGGTAGCAGATCATCAGCCTCACTGCTGGGTTCGACTGTGGACTGGGCACCCTTCGGGCATCATTGAGCTGGGGATTTGTGTCCACCAACCACCCACGAATCTTGCCATGTCAGCCTTCAAGTGGCAGCTTCCCATTGCAGGTGCTCAAAAAAAAACTTCTTGGAGCCCCTTTGACCCACACCTTTTTCTGGCTCACCTCGCCAGGCCGATTTTTTTCGTCCCTGAGAGCCCCGCATGGAGATCAAGGCGAAGATGAAGGCCTCCAGAAAGCGCTTCCCCAGGTAGTGGATCAGCAGGAAGGTGAAGGTGTCCACCCCAGTTGCCAGGGACCCAACCTAACCGGTGGACCCAGAAAGCCAACTGAAACCTGGCCAGCGAGGTTTAAAAAAGAGCCGCCCAGAAAACGACACGGAGGCCCCCAAAAAAAAAGGCTGAAGCCGACTAGAACCAAAGAAGCAGAAGTCAGAAAAACAGAAAGTCAAACCCCCAACCAAAAAAAAACGGAAGACGCAGAGGATTGGGCTGGCACCATCCGCAAATGAACCTCTGACTTGGGAGTTCGCTGTCAGACCTCAAAGCCAAAGCTGAAAATGTGTCACATCCACGCCGGGAAGCCCATAGCGGCCAGCCAAATAGCACCCTCAGCGCCATGCCACATCTCAAGCACTCGTCGCATCCGAGTGGCGTGCGAACAAAGCTCCGTGGATCTCTCAAAGGTCCCTTCAATTTGAATTCATTCCCAAACGTCAACCATATGGTTGATGGACAAGATCCGCTTCGCACCGGCCGGGATGCAAACGGAACCCTATAAGTAACGGGGATACATCACCTATCAACTAGTGCAGGATTTCATCCACCCAGCCCCTTTCCAATGCGGGTGTGGCTCAAAATTTAAGAGCCCGCGAACCACAGGTGATAACCATCTTGGCACATTTCCCAGGGTTCCATTTCGAACCCCCTTCTTTTTTGAGCCACGCCTACGCGAGGAAAAGAAAACCGAGCCACTCTTCTTCGGGGCCGGGCGGCTTCAGCGCGATGCCGGTGCCCACCACCTCCTGGATGTCAGCAGCGATGATGGCCAACTCCTTCCCATGAGTTTGGGGCTCGGTGCGTCAACATCCGGCCACTAGACACAGCAGATCGCAATAAACGCCATCTAGTTGCACGTCTTTAGATCGCCAAAAGGCGAGAGGCAAAGGGATGGAAAAATGCATGATATAGACTTAGTCTTACTTGCGTGCCTTTGACAAAAACACCGTTGGAATATGTGTTGGTGAAAAAACATAAACGCCCAACGCAACCGCGTGTTCCGATAGTAAGAACCCAGCAGCCAAGTCTCGGTCATCATCCAAAGAAGCAGAGACAAAGGTCGCGGGTATCCGGCTCGGCAAGTCTGCGCCAAGTCGCGTCCTCACGACAGGAATCCCCTGGGCAACGGGTATAATGGGTATGTGTAAAATCGGTGGAACCCAGAAATAGGGTGGTTTCCCTAATGCAAAAAAAATAAGCTCTGGCGATATCCCCAACAGCGCCACACCCTCCAGAACCCTCGCGGAACCCTCCTGGAACCCTCCCTGGAACCGCCCTATGAACCTTGCACCCTCGCGGAACCCGCGGAGCTTTTGCAGAACTCTCGCAGAATTCTCGTGGAAACTTCCTCAGAGCCGCCCCAGACACCTGGGCAGAGACCCCATCGCTGCCAGCTGTTGGGGAAAAGCAGTCGCCGCATGAACTGGAGACTCTTCCGGCTCAGTGAAGGGCCATGGAAACATGTCCTGAAATAGGTGTCCAACAAGCTGCTTTTCACGCGCTTCCGAAGCTATTCTCTGAACACCCCGTTGAAAGAAAGACTGCGGTTAAATGCTTCTGTTCTTGAGGTTCGAGACTAGCGAAAGACTTGACAGTGAAGAGCTTCAGACAAGCCACAAATCCAAGCCACCAATCATAGCGCGCTGCCGCTTTTGCTTGGGACGCCGCCTTAACTGAAAAAAGGTGCAAGCCGACGGGCCGCGATCGGGGCCTGACAGCGCCATCGGGCCCCGATCGGCGCCCGACGGGCCCCAATCGGGGCCCGACGGTGCAATCGGGGCCCGACCAAGGTTCGGGGAGCAAACCACGGGAGCAAGCCACCAATCCAAGCCACAGTCACAGCGCGCCGCCGGTTTTGCTTTAGACGCTGTTTTACACCACGCTGCCATCGGTGTTCGACCGGGGCCCGGGAGGGGGTTATAAAGCGTGTCATATCTCCTATAATCCTTAGATAGATTCTGGTAAACCTTAAAAACGACTTATAAACCTTATTTAGGTTTGAGCAGCTTATCTCGTTTGCCAAGGAGTTTGGCAGCCTTATAACCCAACTTAGCCGAGACACTAAACGTTTATAACCTGGTCAACATTCGCCAGCCGGCTAAGCAATCAGGGCCCGACGGCCCAATCGGCCCGGCCGGGGCAGGGAGCAAACCACCAATCATAGCGCACAGCCTTTTGCTTTGGATGCTGCTTTAGCTGCTACAGGTACGGCCGATCGGGGCCCGATTGCGCCGACGGGCCCCGATCGGGGCCCGATGGCGCCCGACGCTGCCGGGGAGCAAACCACCAATCCAAGCCACCAGTCACAGCGCGCCGCTGGTTTTGCTTTAGATGCTGCTTTACAGCCGTCGGGCCCCGATCGGGCCCACGCAGCAATCGGGGCGCGACTGGGGCCCGGGAGCAAACCACCAATCCAAGCCGCCAATCATAGTGCACAGCTTTGCTTAGGATGTCGCTTTAGCTGTTCAGGCACATGCAGCCATCAGGCCCGATCGTCCCCGATCGCCCGATTGCGCCGTCGGGCCCCGATCGGGGCCCGACCGGGGTTAGGGTGTCGCTTTAGCTGTTGAGGCACATCGGGCCCCGATCGTCCACAATCGGGGCCGACGGTGCTGGCCCAATCGGGGCCTGACCAAGAGCTGGGAATCTCCAAACGCTGCTCGTGGAATTCGTGGAGCCTATCAGGACTGCTCTGTGGAAATCTTGTGAAGTCCGGAACCCCTGACCCTGTGGGCAAGTGTATGCAGTGAAAGTGTGGAACTCGTGGAACCTTACTTCAGGACGCCCCGGGCCACCGCCGCAGCCCTTGCAGAACTTCGTGGAACCCTGGTGGAACCTTGGTGGAACCCGCCCCGGACCACCCCACAGCCCTTGCTGGTGGAACCCTGGTGGAACCCGCCCCGGACCACCCCGCAGCCCTTGCAGAACTGGTGGAACCCTGGTGGAACCCTGGTGGAACCCTGGTGCAACCCTGGTGGAACCCTGGTGGAACCTTACCTCAGGGCCGCCCCGGACCACCCCGGAGCCTATCTGGGCTGAGACCCCTTAGCTTTCAGCTGTTGGGGAAAAAGTGCCCTGCCCAAAAACCGCATGGCGCCCTTTCTTAGGCTCCAGGTTACTCAACTTGTCCTGTCACCACAGCTAGTCGTGCCGCCAGAATCTGCAGGATCAGCCCTCCAATAGTACCTGCAATGTGAACTGTGACTGCGAATATGGCGGGGAGGCAGCTTTGGTTGGCTTTAATTGGGAGACCTTAAAACGAAAGCCACCAAAAACGGGGGGGTCCAGGTGTTATTAGGGTTGGACAAGCCCCTGACCCCGCACGGTTGAAAAACTCGCGTCGGAACAACCTCCTTTTGGCTTCCCCAAGGCAGGCAGGGTGTGGTTGCCTGAGCAAATATTGCCTAAGCCCGGTCACCAGCTGGGTTGCCAACGTCTGACCTATGTTCGCTAACCCTGGCAGTCAGCCCGGAAGTTTGGCGCTTGATGCAGGGCTCCTCATATTCCCATGTTTGGTGGTTTGGAGCCTCAACTCGTTTCCCTCGGTACTGTATCGGTGATGGTTCAAGGAAAATGGAAACCAAGAGAAAACTACCATTTGCCCGGTCCCCTATTTCAAGACACACCGATCTGATTTGGCCAAGCTGCAAAGAAGGAGCACCTCAGCGTTAACCCACATGTCCTTTACTCAGGGCTTGATATTCTCCCCCCCCCCCTGCAACAGAGAATCGTTACGATTGTTTTTATTATGACAAAAGCCCGTGCTGAACCAGTAAAACCCACCTACTAAAGTGGCCCTTTTTCTGGTTTTGAGCGCTGCTAGGCTTTGGCTGGTCACCCCCCCCCCCCGATCTCATGGAAAGCACGTGAGCGCCCTATGACACACCCTTGGCGCAGTCTTGCCGGAAAAATCTCAACTGTTGCGGGTCAAACGGCCGGTGCGACTCGGCGCCCGACCCAAAGAAGGCTGTAACCCGTGTAGGCGCCGCTTTGCAAGTCGCTCTCCAGGTTTCCGGGATCCAGGTAGGCTAAGCTCATCAACCATCCCGGTCCAGCATACGCTGCGAAGGTTCTCCTTGTTGCGCAACACAAATGCCGCCACAATCCGACTGCCAGCGCCATTCTCACTTCCCGCCAATGTTCAACAACACTTGCCCAAACGATGTCCAATAGCAGACAAAACAAATCATTGACAAAATGACAACTACAACAGCTGTTGTGCGATTATTGCGAAGCTGTGACAAGAGGCCAAGAGAAGCAGGTGCCGTCAATATCCCTCGGCATCATCTCCACATCCTCATTGCGGATGTCCTCAAAGCCTTCTTCCTCTGAGGAGGAGCTTGTGTCAGAAGGCGTCATGGCGCAAGAGAGTCGAGCAACTATGGGGCCGAGAATAGGATCGGCGGTACAGTCCGTCCTAAGGAAAACTCAACCCTCCCAAAAGCGGATGCAACCCAGGAGAAAGACACCAGTGAGATGCGAGGCCCTCAGGTCTCAGCACAAGCGCAAAGTTCATTGTCCAGTGATTCACCACTTCCTGCATGCGAAACCACTCCAATGGCAAGTCAATCCTCGAATTTGCTCAAACGTCGCAATGGCAAGTCCGTCCTCAAAGAATTCTCCGGACAGCTCCTGACTGGATCACTGACCCTAATTCATTGCAAGTGGGAGCCTCGTGAGGTCGCATGTGCAAAACGAGTCAACTCGTTCATGTGCTTCACCCAACCAAACCTGACTTGGCTTCTCAAAATGGACCCCCTGCAACACGGAGCAGGATTACTATCGGGTCGATTGACCTGAGGCTGGCCGCCTCAGTGGACCCTGTGGTTGGTTAGCGGTTTTTACGCTTAACCACGGCAAACAACCCACGGCAACCTCCCCTGCCCGCAAAGACCTGCATCCCCGCCTTGCGGAGGTCAAAAATGAGACGAGCTGAGACTGTTGCAGTCAACGCCTCAGTCGTGTCGCTTCCCAGAAATCCTGGGTCCAGAGCAAGCCTCACAATTCCTGCCTAAATGGGCGTGGGTCAAACCCAAATACCCTCCCACCAACTAACATGGAAGTGCACAAAGCCCCTTTCCAAGAGGAAAGTCGTGTTTCTACAGGGGTCTTTTTGCACTTCCATGTTAGTCGGTGGGAGGGTGCCTTTTTTGGTATCCCCCTTTTCGTTCGGTCCATTGAATTTTACGGAATCTGGAAACCTTTGACCAGCCAAATGTCGGTGTGAAGTTCCCACGTCTCGTCTCCCAAGCCTATGACTCCCATGTCTATCCAAGGCTCGAATAGATTCATGGCCTCCAGGCGATCCAAGCCTCTGGCCATGCACGATGCACGTTTTGCGCATGGCTCGCACGATGCACGTCTCTCAAAATCGGGAAATCGTTGCATCGTATGGGTCAAAATTCAACCAGGATATGGACGGCTTTTAGTGCTTATGTTCATTTGCCAGGGTTCCATTTTGGTACCTATTTTTCACCCACACCTATTTCCTACGGCAGCCGTTGGTCCTTTTCCCTGTAAGTTAGCCGAAGGCTCCGAGAAACACCCAACTTTTTGCTGAGGCTTGGACACAAGTAGCTGCGGTTGTCAAAGGGCCCGGAGTAGACGTGGAGAAGGATAAAGCCAAAGGAGGTAAAAAGCATCAGCACCTCGAAAGCTCCAGACGTGTGCCAAGATGTCTTTCCAAGATGTACCCCCAAACCACCTCCGGGACCCAGGCAAAAACGGTTGGAAGTTAGCTCCTTTTTAGAGTGGAGCATATAGTTGCGGTTTCGGGTAGTGAAAACCGTCTTATGGCCTTGCATTCAGATATGGGAACCCAGTTGAGCGAGAGAATGTTGAGCTGCCCAAGGCGTGCACCATGCGCACATACATGGTTGGGGCAGTGAAGAATAGAAGAATCATCACCTTGCGGAACATGTAGACCTGAATCGACAGGAAAGAAACATTGATATGCAGCTTGAACTCGCATCAACTGAGTTCCGAGCAGACTCGAAGTAGTAATACTTCAGCCTCGCTCGTGTTGCTTTCGCGTGGCAATGGAGTTCATCGAGCGAAAATCGGTCGCACAACCAACACGAACCGGGGCCAGGGCTCGAAGCCGTTGTACAGAAACCCAAAGCGCTTCCGAACTTCCTGCGACTGACAGCTTTTGCCAAGCTTAGATTCCCGGGTAAGTGAGCCGGATGCTAAGATATTTGTGGGTTTCTCGCAATGGACTCCTGTGGTTGCTAGCTGAAACCAAGCATTGCAAACAACGATTTTGAGAGGAACACCGAAATGAAAAAGCAAAAGGATGTCAAAAAGGGTGACCTAATTCTGGCAGTGACAAGAGCTGCTCCCTCGCCCGAAACCAAGAGCCATTGGGTCCGAGCGGAAAAGCTGCTTCCGGACCCGGCACAGCGCAATGAACAGCGAAACCTGGGGACGTGGAGCGGCATGGAAGTAGTCTGTCAGTCAGCCATAGATCTTTTTCTCAGGGCCCCCTTTTCCAACCTCAAAGCTCTGTTTTGACCTGTGCTGCCTTTTTGGGCTTAGCCTGGCAACCGGCCAGGGGGCCCAAAAAACCACATCCCCGATTTGCTAGCCCTTCCGGAGGCTGTCACTCTGAGGCAGCAGCAGGTACTCCAAGACCGTAGATGACAAGGCCCGCCGTGCTGAATACAAGCCACATCCTTGGCCGCTCTTTGATTGCCCACGGTGAGCCAGATGGGTGTCTCTTTTTTGCAGGTACCCATTTTGGTGTGGCGTTTGAAGGGAACCAAAGGAAAACCACAATGTTTGGGGGGGGTCCGATTTCTATTTTCAGACAAACCATCTTCATTACCTGCGCCCATTTCCTCGTTTTTTTCTTTGGGGCGCCTGTGCATCATGACGCTAGCTCCAGCCCGCTTTCGCCTAGATCTGGGTGGCTGACATGTGGGTGCCGGACTTGCACTCCACGCTCAGGTCATGCCTGACATCAAAACTTGCTTCTGTGCTAACAAAAACCATTATTTCATCTCTACGAAATGGGGACAGGACGAATCTCATCTTTTGGGGGACCACGCCAAAAATCAACCTGAAATCTAAGATCGACAACGCTGAACAAAAAGACAACGCGGACAATGTCGGCTACTTGAGGACTTGTATGAAACTGCTTTGCTGTTCGGGTCGTGTAGCATTTACAAGCCAAACTGTGCTTAGGCCAAAGGCGAGTGGGCCTCTCCAGTCGAGAGAACTCAAAATTCAAGGACATTTTTCCGGCCAAACTCAGCCCAGCCTTGGGCCTGGGACGTGCCACGTGAGCCATGGTCAGAATATTTTTTCTCAGTGGGATCAAACATGAGTAAGTCCCTTCGGGCTCGTTCCCTCTAGGCCCTTCCCAAATGGATCCACGAAATTCACCCAAGCTGTGGGCTTTTTTTTAGGCCACACCGAAGCTCTCTGTGCCTATGCCGCAGGGTGTCCAACTCCTCGCACTCGAAGCCAACCACCAGTATCCTCCGAGTCTGAAACATGTCACGCGCAAGATGCGCTGGTCCAGGGCAACCTGGGTGTGCTTCTTCATTTCTCTTTGGAAGGGAAACCAAAGGATGCACCCATTTAAGGGGGCCCATGTTCTGAGACGGACGGGCCGCCTGGCCTCACAACAATCGGATGCAGAATGAAGCTCATCACGATGGTCGAGTTGATGAAGCGCGTCGCCACGTTGTTTACAAAAACCTGCCCAGCTCTGGTTTCCCAGCACAGTCAGGCGGCCATGCGGTGAGCTGCATCAAGGATGCTTGTGCCTTGGTATGGGCATGAAGAGGATGCGGTCGATCACCAGCTACGGAGTCCTGTCAAGTTTTCCCACCTCCACTCACAAAGCAAAACTGGGCAAGGCACAAAAGGGAGCTTGCGAATGCTTGCACCTGCCCGACACAAGAAGAAAAAGCAAGGGCACAGGGCCGGCGCTTGTTTTGCACAAACCCTGGGCAGTGCTGTGAATTCAGCGCTTGCCAATCCGAGTGATCTCAAGCAGCCGCATCGCCAGCGCCAGCAGCAGCACAAGACCTCATGGAGAAACCGTGAGGCGGTGGCAAGGCGTGACAACCTGGTGGGAACGAGAGACAACCCCGTACCCCCCCCCCCCAGTGAACATCCCAATCCCCACTAAAATAGATGGTGCGCCTACCCCAAAACGGTACAATTGGTTTTGAACCATGGCCAAATCCCTCTGAACCTGTGGCTTCCTTTCACGGTTTCATTCATTCCCACGGCCCGCGGAACAAAAGCCGCTCCCACCAGCCAAGCGATCGAGGGGATCCAATGGACCGGAGAACCCCATGGACGCAATGGACGCAAATGGCGCAACTCAATGGCAAACCCCCGTCTCAAAATAGGACAAGCCCCAAAATGGCGGCTCCCACTTCAAAAATGCCGCTCGTTTAACCCAAACACGGGGCGGAGCCGGAGAAAACAACCAAAATAGCAGACCCCGCGCCTCCCATGCGGGAGCTGAGCGCTCGGCATGCCCCGAGACCCCACAGAAGCCGCCGGCTTTGAACCACTTTGGCCGCAGCAGCCGCCTGACTTCGATCCGAATGGCGCCATTTGGGCCATGCCGAATGGTGAGGCCGGGCCGAATGGTGAGGCGGGGGCCGAATGGTGAGGCCGGGGCCCCGTTGACGTGTCATGTGCGGTGGCTTTTTGTTGAGGTTACAAGTGCAGGGGCTTTGGTTTGAAACTGCTTTCAGGGAGAAGCACGAAGTTGGAGACACACGTGTCTCCAATGCATTCCGTGGCTACATAAAGTCCCAAAAGGGTCAGTGCATGCCGCCACGTCTTAGCTCGTCTGAATCCATGCTTCCGGCCTGTATTGAGGCTCGGAGGGAAGGGCTTACCACTTTCATGCCCTCTTCCGCCTTGTCAGCGCTTTCCTTAGACGTGAGCCACGCAAAATCAAAGCAGGGGTAAGTGATAAGTGTCTGTGTGGGCGCGTATTTTGAGGCTCGGTACCCTCTACACCTCAGGGGAAACCCAAAAAAGGGAAAGCTATAAGTCCGATGTGGGGGTCCCAGTCAGTCCCCTTGAGATATCTATGCCACGTTGCGTAGAAGAGGACCTTGGGTCTCAGCTCAAAACCTCAGACCATCTCTCGCGATCTCCAGCGCTCGAGTCAAACCAAACTGCCCAGGCACGCGGCGGCTCCCTCAAGAAGGACATCATTTCGCATCCCGAATCACCAGGCGTTCGTTCTTCTTCCCATTGCCTTTTGGTTCTAGCAACGTGGCTAAGGCTTATGAAATGTGTATCGGCTTTACTATAACCCCGATTCAACCAGGGGTTACCGACCAAGCTGGCTCATGGGAGCGCTGCTAGCCGGGAAGCGAGCACACTCATGGGCAACCGCTGCCCAATCAAAGAACTCCTTGCGCACTCCTCGGGCAACACCTGGCCAACAGCCGACGGGCCAGTCAACGGGCAACGCAATTGAAGCTCCGTCGCCGTCGCTCTCAAAATCAGTGATAAACGGGTGAGAAAAACGACGGCCAGGGTACACGGCCGTAGAAATAATCCTGCGGCGAGATTGTGGGACAAAGCTTGGGTATGCAAGTAAGACCTCAGACTCTGGGGAGTGTGCCCCCACAAAATCTTGCATGAGTTCGCGAGATGACACTCCCTGACACACTTGAAAATTGACGTGAACTGGCCTTTCTACAGGGGCTTTCCCCCATGGTTGGTGTCCCTTTCAACCAAAACACAGCTCGGCTTGTGCGGATTTCAGTTGGAAAACAAAATTGCTGGATGCTGCCTCTCAAAAGACTCGGGGACCCCCAGAATGGTTGGTTCTCCGGCAGACCTTTACAGCCAGCCCAAAAAAAAGGGCTCACCCCAAGGAAAGACGCGCCCCGAAATGGATGTTCTCAAAGGGGACTCTTCCTGCAAGTTTCGTGGATCGACGCTATTTTCTCTTGCCCATGCGTGCAAGCAGCTTGAAACACTTGCCGAGTGATGTGGTTTGTGTCCTTGCAGATCTATGGCTTCCTTTCACTCCTGGCATTACGTCTTGCGCACCCTGAATCGCCTGATTCATGTGGTAACCGCAAGCAGAAACACGTCCATTAGTTAAAAAAGGCCCTGCGGCAAAAAAATCAAGTCCTTCGCCTTTAGACATCCCGCCTGGCAAGTCATTGAAGAAGAGCCAGCAGCTTTCATCCTAAGTTGATCTCTTTTTCTGCCAAACCCGCCCTGAAGCATGGGGCATCTATCAATAATGGCAAGCGGCAGACTGGCGGCGACAAAAGACCACCTCGGCAAAACCAAGCACGCCAGCACCCCATCCCCGAAGAAAGGCCTCGTTTCTTGGCGAAGGGGATATTGAAAATCTAGGCGTGGGTTCTCTCAAACCAGGACTCACAAGGCATTCCCCCTTCAAACATCAGCAAAATTGCATCACGTTTACAAATTGGCCCAGAAGGCGAAGTCTAAAACCATCCAAAGGAGAGCACCATCGAACACCCCCCAAGGAGAGAGGGACAACTTTGCCGAGACGCATAATGCCTGAAAGCCTCGATGTAGCAAATCATCGCCACCAGGTGGTGCGCTGCGCCCAGATCTGGCTCGCCCAAAGGCTTTCGGCCTCGGCGGTTTTGAACGCACCCGGCCTTGAGACCCCAGACGCATCATGCAACTTGGTCATTCGGGAAGATGAAAAAACGGTGCGGCTGAAAGGCCCCCCTGGCTTTGGTGGGAAATCTAAGGAAAGGGTCATGAGTCCCCTATGTCCCTCCCAACTGGACGTCATCCACTGAACTCTGTGACCAGCACCAAAACTGTCGCCGCGAATAAAATAAAACATGCCTCCCAAGATGCGTGGCACCAGGGCCAGTGTGAGCGTAAGAATGGCGGCGCTGGACAGAGGTGGCAGCATCAAGTCCAGAGCCAGCAAGGGTGCATCTTCCACTCCTGCGGCCAAGAAGCATCTTGCATATTCGTGTGTTGGCTAGTTGGAGGTGTTCGTGTTCCCTGTGGTTCCTCGGTGTTTCCTTTTCAGTAATTACCCCGGGGGGGGGTAATTACTTCTGAAGATTGGAGAGCTCAGTGCGCCCCTGCGTCCAAGGTTCCCATTTGCGTCACCTCCGACCACAGCGCCGCCGGGGGCAAGGTGGGGCCTCCAAAGGGCACTGGGACTGATGCGATGAGCTCCGACAGCGACTGCAGCGAGGGGTCCTGAGCGATCATAAGCTAAAATGGGCCTTACAACCCCCTCCCCCCCGCAAAACAAAGAAAAAGGTACTCAGAAAACGGCACACTCTGGTGGCAACATGAGTGGTCAACATTGCGGGTTCTGTCTGGTCTGTTGAAAAGGCTTTGACCTTCTGAGAGGGCCTCAGATCTCGAAGCTCCAAGCATCGGTGCCAGGAGGCGAAAAGGGTGTGTCGTTTTCTCGAGACATCCCCTTTGGAGAAACCAAAAGGTTAAAAACCGCCATGTTGTCACCCAAAAAAGAACGATGCACCCAAATCAGCCCTTCCCCAACTCTGCAAATGCCAATCGAGCTGCGCTGCTCATTGGATCCCTTTCTATCCGCTGCGCTGTTTGGCTCGGGCTCTCTCCCCTGAGACTAGCGTCAGCAAGGAGACATGTACCATAGTGATGGTGATCACGTTGGGGGCGATTTGACGATGTCATGAATTCAAAGGCATGGGAAGAATTAATGGTGTATTCATATACGTGTACATATTTACATACATATATATATATATATATGCGTGCCACCAACGCAATCAAACTAGCTCCGAACCTCGTCCATTGGCCCTGAATCACCAGCAACAGAAGCATCCGCGCTTCGAACTCCGCTTGGCTTCCGCATAAACTCAATCATGTCTTATTCTTTTTTGTTGGGAGAAACGCGGCCATCATGCCTTCGCAAATTGTAATGTCTCTGCAACCCTGTCGCTTACTTCGCCTTCTAGATTTTCGGAAGGAGATCTCCCTGCCAAAGGATGTTGCACTTGGTCTTCTCCTGAAATGCAACCACTGCCTCTCTGAGTTGCTGGCTTGCAGCCCTTTCTCTACCAGGAACAGACAAGGCCAGAATATCAGTGGCAAGACAAACGGGCCCGTGAATTTGCACCTCCTTGTAGGTTGTGCACTTTGAACGTAAGCCTCCAATCCTTGCCGATGTACAAACATTGAGCACGTCCGAAAGCTCTCGATTGTCGTAAGCGTTCAATATATGCCCGTAGTACTCGTTTGTGGCTAGAGTAGCTGTAGCCACAAAGCCACCAGTGTCTTGTTTGTAGAAAGTAGATCTGTGACGGACATGCGGTTGGAGAATCAAGACGAGTGCGCCATAACAGCGTGCAGCGTTGACTCCTTGGATGTCCCCAGAGTAGTTTAGGGTGCCATACTTTGGTCTGCAAAAAGCGGAGCAACGAGCTCGACCGTAGCTGTTCCCAAACATGTTAGCCTCCCAATTTTTCCGAGCCGTCTTGGCTCTGCTCCCACCAGAAGTATTCGTCTCAAAGAGGTTCCGATAGTGAGTGTCTTTGACAAGGAGTGACAGTGTCTTTTCTGCCACATGAATCACTATAGGGGCATCATCTCGGATGTAGTCCAGGCATTGTTGGAGCACTTCTGGCGAAAATCCTTGCGATTTGGCGCGGCCTTGCAATTGCTTTAAAGATGCTTCGTGCATGGATTTCGCCTTGTCCTTGACATAGTTGACAGCCTGGAGCTGAACGGGCGTGAGAATACCCAATGCTTCTTCCTTAGTGAAATGCTGTCGTCTCTTCCGACCACGTTCATCTTCTTCTTGTTGGAACACTTGGGCGATGCTTTGATCTCCCGCCTGCAACCTTCGTCTCTGCTTGTGTCTCCGCTCTGACTGTCTCTCTTCGTCTGCGTGCAGTTTCAAAGCCACGGCTCTGTCCGCCTCTTCTTGCTGGCGGCTTCGAGTATCCATGGCAAATGACATCTCGCGATCAAAACGTACAACTGCAGTTCCGTCGTCAGCCTTGTCCTCGTCATTGCCATTTTCTCCTGCTTGTAGCTGTTGAATTAGTTTCCACGACGCATCATCAATATCCGGTGGTCTCTTTCGCTTGCTTGCCACACGGCTGGCGCCAATGACAACCTCATCCCCACAGCTGTCGTCAATTACCACCACTTCCGCCATGGCTTCATCTTCAACACGGTAGCAATCGCATAAACTCACCCATTTCTGTCAGACAAACATATCCGTCCACCTCCGTTTACACCCACTTACACACACACACACATGGCGCATCTGAATCCACAAAGCCATGACCCCCGAAAACTACCTCTCTCCTTTTGGCATGGTGCTACTGCTCTGTTGATAGGCCGCAAAGTGCAAAGCCTATGAAAAAGTGCTTCTTGGCGATGCAAACGCAAACTCTGGATGCAGCTGATATCTGATGGCTCATGCTGGACGCTTCCATGCGATCGATTGCTACCTGAAAACTGGATCTGCTCCTGTGGATTGTTGGGTTCTACAAATGCCATGGACTTGCTGCAGGTCATTGCATGGCTGCGGGTGTGTCAGGGACTGTGAACCAAGGTAGGCAGCTGTGCGTGCGGTTGAGTTTGCTTGGCTCAGCTGCTGTTCTATGCTGTGAAGCACCTCTCAAATGAAAAAAATCATTACACTTATGTAGCCGAGGATATAAGCAGCTTGATCATCAATATCAGAGCACGTGCATCTTTACGTGCCACTTGTGAGTCCTTCAAGCATCTGCAAGTTGACAACCTTTATATGACAACCATAACATCAGGTTTCATCTGGAACGTTCCCTTCAAAAATCAAACCTGGACACCGAACCCCCCCCCCCCACCCACCCACACCCACCCACCCACACCCACCCACACCCACCCTCCCACCCCACGCTTCTTGGTCCTCCTGGAGCCTTGAGAACGCCTCCGCGCAGTCGCCGTAGCCGCCGCCCCACGCCTCCACCAGCGCCTGGACCGGCACCGGGCCCCCGCGCTCGTAGAGGTCCCAGGTCTTGCGCAAGGCATCCGCGGAGCCGTGGCCCTCACGGAAGGCTGCCAAACGGTTTTGCTGGGGCCCCTCTTGCAGAGGAAAACCCGCCATGTTCGGGGCCCCCTAAGAAAGGACACGCCCATATGGGTGTGGTTGTGTTTGTGTGGCTTTGAACTTGGTTTCAAGGAACCACAGGGTTAAATTCTGAGGTCGTTTCTTGTCCTTGTAGGTCGTTGGCGTCCTTTTTGACCCCTTTGAGAAGCACCCAAATGGGGGTCTTAGGAGGAGCCCGTATGGGAGTTGTCCAAAAATACTGGGGGCTGAGAACCATACTTATTCAAAGGTTGCTCTGAGAATTGCATAATTGGGTGTGTGATTGCTTTAAGGCTCGACACCCTTGTTTTGGTTGGCTTCAATAGAAACCAAATGGAAACCGAAATCCATTGTGGGGGTCAAACTGGTAAAAAATCTGTCATGCTGGTTCTGCTAAGATGGCTATACAGGATCTTACAAGCCTCCCTGCTCACCATAATCCCTAGCATAACCAGGTAGAACCACCTCACATGGCTAACAGGTGGGTGCAGCTCAAATGTGGCACGGTCAAAGCACCTGCTTGCTTGGGGTTGCTAGGGGAGCTTGCAAGAAGAAGCCACGACGAGCGACAAGGAGACACCCGTCCTGTGAGGGCAGTGGCCGCACCAAGTTGTCGAAGAGTACGTGGAAGACCCGCGAGTGCCAGAGGCTTTGGAAGAAAGTGGAGAGCCAGCAGCTCTCTTTATGCGGGTTCTCAAACTCCTCGGATGCTCGACGGTTTACGGGTGTTCTTCGCCGCTGCGCAGGACTCAACACAATCACTTGCTTTCCAAGGATCTGAATGCTTGAAGGAAGAGTTTCTGTGCAAATCGTCGGCAAGGTCCTGCGAATACTGCTACATCTCCGGTTCACTCGTCAGCTGGCGCCATGATTCTCAGGGAATCATTTGAAGGTTTTGGGAATGAACCGCCAGGGACTCCCTTCCTGGCGAAACCAAAAGGAGATTAATACTTGGTCATTGTTCAATCCGAACGTAGGCCTATCCAAAACATCGCGAAACCAGCATCATTTTAGCCAAAGGGCCGAGCTGCACGGTACCAAGGGCCTGCTGGTGCTCAGTGGGGAATGAGGGAATGAACCTGAAAGATTCCCTTAAAGGAAGCCACCAGTTGGATGGTTTGTAAGGGTTATTCCCTCATCTGGCCATGGGTCAAAACCCCGTACCCCCAGTGAACATCTCAATCCCCACCAAAATAGCCTAAAATGGAGGTGACTTCACCTACAACAAAATGGGATCCCATTGGCTTTGAGAACCACTTGCTTGAAAGAAGCAACTTTCTCCTCGACTGCGCGCTGGATGGCCGCCAGGTCCTCCTCGCTCTCGGCGGCCAACAGCCGCTCCTAAGGCTCTCTCTTTAAAGGGGAAACCAAAGATTTGGATATCTGAGAAACCCCCATTTGTTTCTGAGCGTTCCCCTTGGCTAGGGACCCCCGGTTGTTCCTGAGCGTTTTTTTGGCTAGGGACCCCCGGTTGTTTCTGAGCGTTCCCCTTGGCTAGGGACCCCCGGTGTTTCTGAGCAATCCCCTTGGCTTGGCTGGGGACCCCCGGGTGTTTCTGAGCGTTCCCCTTGGCTGGGGACGCCCGGTTGTTTCTGAGCGCTCCCCTTGGCTAGGGACCCCCAGTTGTTTCTGAGCGTTCCCCTTGGCTAGGGACCCCCGGTTGTTTCTGAGCGTTCCCCTTGGCTAGGGACCCCCGGTTGTTCCTGAGCGTTCCCCTTGGCTAGGGACCCCCAGTTGTTTCTGAGCGTTCCCCTTGGCTAGGGACCCCCGGTTGTTTCTGAGCGTTCCCCTTGGCTAGGGACCCCCGGTGTTTCTGAGCGTTCCCCTTGGCTAGGGACCCCCGGTTGTTTCTGAGCGTTCCCCTTGGCTAGGGACCCCCGGTGTTTCTGAGCTTTCCCCTTGGCTTGGCTAGGGACCCCCGAATGTTTCTGAGCGTTCCCCTTGTCTAGGGACCCCCGGTGTTTCTGAGCGTTCCCCTTGGCTTGGCTAGGGACCCCCGGGTGTTTCTGAGCGTTCCCCTTGGCTAAGGACCCCCGGTTGTTTCTGAGCGTTCCCCTTGGCTAGGGACCCCCGGTTGTTTCTGAGCGTTCCCCTTGGCTAGGGACCCCCGGTGTTTCTGAGCGTTCCCCTTGGCTTGGCTAGGGACCCCCGGGTGTTTCTGAGCGTTCCCCTTGGCTAGGGACCCCCGGTTGTTTCTGAGCGCTCCCCTTGGCTAGGGACCCCCAGTTGTTTCTGAGCGTTCCGCTTGGCTAGGGACCCCCGGGTGTTTCCGTTCCCCTTGGCTAGGGACCCCCGGTGTTTCTGAGCGTTCCCCTTGGCTTGGCTCGGGACCCCCGGGTGTTTCTGAGCGTTCCCCTTGGCTAGGGACCCCCGGTTGTTTCTGAGCGTTCCCCTTGGCTAGGGACCCCCGGTGTTTCTGAGTGTTCCCCTTGGCTTGGCTAGGGACCCCGGGTTGTTTCTGAGCGTTCCCCTTGGCTTGGCTAGGGACCCCCGGTGTTTCTGAGCGTTCCCCTTGGCTTGGCTAGGGACCCCCGGTGTTTTGAGCGTTCCCTTGATCCTTCTGGGGAAATCAAAAAGACCATTTCGGGGCTACGTTGACACATCCCCCAATATTACGATATAACATAATGGTTTCATCCTCCAAGCATGTACCCGAACATTGGGGTCCCTGAAACCATGGCGATGTCAGTGGACAGCAGGTGACGAGCTTTGGCAGCTTCTGCCCGCCTGCTCGATTCCACAGAGCTCAAGCTGACACATGGTCTGCTGCACCTGATGGGGGTGCAACCACCAGCGATGAGCCTTATTGTTCTTGCTTATTATGTTTATCTAGTATCATATTATTATTTATGTATGTGTTTATCTATTTCTTTAATAGTTAGTTATAGTTAGTTAGTTAGTTAGTTAGTTAGTTAGTTAGTTAGTTAGTTAGTTAGTTAGTTAGTTAGTTAGTTAGTTAGTTAGTTAGTTAGTTAGTTAGTTAGTTAGTTAGTTAGTTAGTTAGTTAGTTAGTTAGTTAGTTAGTTAGTTAGTAGTTAGTTAGTTAGTTAGTTAGTTAGTTAGTTAGTTAGTTAGTTAGTTAGTTAGTTAGTTAGTTAGTTAGTTAGTTAGTAGTTAGTTAGTTAGTTAGTTAGTTAGTTAGTTAGTTAGTTAGTTAGTTAGTTAGTTAGTTAGTTAGTTAGTTAGTTAGTTAGTTAGTTAGTTAGTTAGTTAGTTAGTTAGTTAGTTAGTTAGTTAGTTAGTTAGTTAGGTAGTTAGGTATCTATGTTATCTATGTTATTGTTGTTGGGGGAGCAAAAAAGAAGCCTAAACCTTCGCGTTTGGGCTAAAACAAACACCAAGGCTCCCCCTCCTTCTGGAGGAACCTCTTGGAAAGCCAAGAGGAAAAAGCCGGCTGCAAAAGACCCAGCTACCAAGGCTACACCGCCCCTCGAAAAAAAACCTCAGCCCTGGAGAGCCCAACTTGCACCTCGGACGCTCTCCTCACCACCTCCTGGGGCGCGGCCTTCTCCGCCGAGGCTTTGCTCAAGGACCTGCGCCGCTCGCCCAGCTGGGCCAACAACTCCCCGGCCGTGAGCTCGGCCTCAAGCTCACGGCCGAAACCCCCTGGCTTCCGCTTTCTGAACCTCGGCTCTCCCAGAAACATGGGACCTCGGTTGAAACTTAGGGAGCTTTCGCTGTTGCAACTTGGACCTCTGAAACCTTTTAAACCTCCTGGGTGCTTTTTTGCGGAAAAACCGGGGGTGGGGGGGGCTGGTGTCTGGCCACCATCTTGGCCCCGGGCCTTCACAGGCGTCTCTGGCCTCGACGCGTCCGCCGCTTCCGCCGCTTCCGCCGCTTCCGGCTCGTGCAGCGGCACCAGGACGTCGCGGGCGCCGAACTTGCGGTAGCTCCAGCCCTTGACGTTATTCTCAGTTCGGATCTGCAGCCAGTCACCCTGCTGCTCTAAGACCGTGAAGGGATGACCGGCTTGCAAAACGCAAAGCACAAAGGAGTCCAGATCTGGGCTTGTGCGAACATTCCACGAGTCCACACCATCAGTGTACTCCAGTTCAGGCAACAGTTGCCACTGCTCTTCCATGGCTGTCACATGCTGGTCGTGCTTCAATTGGCTGATTTACATTGTCCATACTGTACTGGTGAATTGACATGCACTTGCAAACAAATGCTAATGTGGGCAATTGTCTAGCGCGGCTCATTGAATGCTTCTGCTCTTCCATAGCTGTCACATGCTGGGCGTGTGTCAGACGGCCGTCGTATGTTGTCTATCTCATACTGATACAATACGATGTGCGTGTGGAGAAGGTTAACGTGACACCCTGCAGATTGAAGTGTCATGGGCACAAAGCTGCGCGCAACTCCAACTCACACGTTGGGCAAACCATCTCCTCTTCAGTTCGGTACCGCTGATGCCAGGGTGAACTTAAGCCGTACGCTGACCTGCCGCTCTCGGACAGAGTCTCTCGCTTCAGGGGACCACCCATCGGGTTTTTGTATTACAGCCTGGGAATATATTCACTGGGTATTGACCCCATTGAGGCACGTTTCTGGATAAAACCCGTGTTATTTTCAAGGGTGTAATCCCAGGGTGTGATACAAAAACCATCAGAACCCACTTGGTGCGGCTGCCGAACGCTAAGCTCACCGCATAGGAGTAAAGTCTCCACCGCCTCTTCGCTGAGGCGACACACCGGGCGATCTTCGCTGAGGTGACACACCAGGCGAGGCCTCCTGCGAGTCTTGCAACTCTATTAAGGAAGGCTGCATTTGGGTGTGCGTGTATGTCTTGTTTTGGGGAGGGGGCGCGAGGGGTACCAAAAGCAAAGCCATCATTTGGGGGTCCTCAAAGTTTGACTCGCACACACCAACATATGAGGATTGGCAAAGCCGCCAGTCTCGAATAACTCTGGACGTCACAGAAGAGGGCGAGGAAGGCCTAAGCGCCAGCGAGTCACCAGTTGGACTGATTCGCGCATCGGGAAAAAGTTGGGTCGAGACTCAGCCGCGGACATTGGACATTGCCGCGCACCGAGAATGTCAAGATCCTTGCACCAAGAATCACACCTTGAGGCGACCCGCCTCGGAAAAAATGTCCTGCCCGCTTTTTGGTTGGTTTATTCTCTCGCTGACGCTCCTTCGGCGAGCTCTCGAGATCCCTAGGCCACGCGTGAAATGCAATTCTGCCGCATCGGATTAGTCGAAGACATGGGTATGCGTCAAAATATGCGAGCCCCTTCGCCTTTTTCCCCTTTTCATGTCCCGTTAAATCAGCCTTCAAGAGGGTACCCTGAAAATACCACACACACACACGCACACGCACACACACACACAGACACACACAGACACACACAGACACACACAGACACACACAGACACACACAGACACACACAGACACACACAGACACACACAGACACACACACACACACACACACACACACTCACACACACACACACACACACACACACACACACACACACACACACACACACACACACACACACACACACACACACACACACACACACACACGCACGCGCACACACGCACACAAACGCCCACACGCCCACACGCCCACACGCACGCACACACGCACACGCACACGCACACGCACACGCACACGCACACGCACACGCGCACGCACGGACGCACACGCACGCACGCACGCACGCACGCACGCGCACGCACGCACGCACACGCACGCACGCACGCACACGCACACGCACGCACGCACGCACGCAGACAAATCGAGGCCCGAGCTCGTCCATCTTTGCCCGCATGGCCTAGGCTCTGCTGCATCTGTGCTCTGGACGCAGCTTCTGAGCGCCCTCTGGCGGCGCCTTGCGACGTTCCTCGGCTCCCAAGTTGCAAGTTGCGCAGCTGTGGCTCCCGTTGCAGTCCAAAGGGCCCATCTCCGCCGCAGCCAGGGAAGCAGCACGCCGCAGCAGTCCTGCAATCATTGAACCATGGGTCTAAATTCAGACGCTGTTTCCGGGCAGCTAAGACCTAAGAATGGCAAGAGGAAGGTGGAGGCCCCTCTCCTTTCGAATGGCAGCGAAAAGAGTCATGATGAAGAACGCAGCGGGCATCAAGCTCAAACCTTAAAGCGCTCCAAAACGTGTCACCGAGAGGTTTGCCTTGTCCAGGCCCCTTGCCAATGATTATTTCCACCTGACAGCCGGCGAGCCCCGGACGCAATGGGAAAGTTGGGTGGTCTTTTTGTGGTTGCAATTTGGGTGTGCCAAACTAATATGTTACGTGTGCGTCCAAATAGGGGCGCTGAAAACATGTGTCTATATATATATATATATATATATGCGTCTTATCTATCTATATCAATATCTGCGTACCAACTCCTCAAACACTCCGGCCTGGTAGGGTCGAATGCTGCTGCCGGCGGGGAAGAAGCAGTCCAGGCCTTGACTGCCCACTGGAAAGGCCTTCAATGGAGTCACAATCAAAACCGATCGGTATTAAAATGGTTGACCCAGAACCATGTAAGGAAATACAAGGGCGGATATCCGCAACTATTTATGGCTGGGGTTGTCCCTTACTAACCTTCATCTACCCGGGTATTGATTGTGGCTCAAATGACTTCCCCTCCCAATTCACATGCAACACACCAAGAGACTACAGAGAATTCGGTCCAGACCCAGGCCCTTTGCGTCAGGTTCCCAACGAATTGCTCACCTCCGGCTTGGGTTCGCGACTCATCAAGGCGGTGAAGGGATACTGCAAGCGCTGAGGCCTAATTCGCAACGCACGACCCAAAAAATGAGTTGCAAACAACTCAGCAGCCGGCAGGGCAACAAATGGCGTCAACCACGAAACACTCGGCCCGTAAATGGTCAGCATCATCTCCTGACCGAAATCCATTGCGACGGGAAAAAGGCGATCGCGACCTCGCCCTCTCGCCTTGAACTCTGTCGCCTCGAAAGCAGTGCCCGCCTCAGCAGTGTCCGCCATGGCAAAATGCCGGCCGAAACCGTTTGCGGCTCGGAATGCTGGGAGGTGCGGACAAACTGCAAGTAGTTGACACCTCCAGCTATGATATGCAAGTGCGCATCATATGAAAAAGAGTCCGCAACTTCAAACAAAAACATGAACAAACCAAAACCCGTCCGAGTCCGAGGTGCCGGCCAATCTTGAGAATCACGGAATGAATGGCCTTCACCGACTGCGAGGCCGAGAGCGTGCCCTTGACGATGAGCCAAATGTAGAACACCTCTGAGGCCATCTGTGCAGATTCCAAGAGATTGCCCTCTTGGAAAGGGGAAAACCAGCGAATGAGCGCAGAAATGCACCGCAGATTGAAGCAAAGACTATGGACTCGACATACAGCGAGATGGTCAAGGCCATTCCTCCCAATGCCACCTAAGATCCAGGATACGGCGAAACATCCCAACAATCCAAGAAGCGTCCAAACTTTGTGAGCATGCCTCGGGCTCTTCAGAACGGAAGGTTCTTGGGCCCCGCACGCGATCGCTAGGACACTTTGAACAGAAGTCGCCTCGCGTCGCTTCTGGGAAGCGCCAAGTCTCCGCAGTCAAAAGGCTGCGGCGTTCAAGGCCCCAGAGCGGCAAGGAGTAGCCGGGCTCGCAGCTGCGGCCTGGGCTCATAGAGGCCTTGTACTCTCAAGTGAGAGATGATCAAAACCGCTCGGTTGCAAAATGGTCTCCGCAGAACCACGTAAAGAGTTGAACACGTCCGCACCCATTTACGGCTGGGATCGTCCCTTACTACCCGCGCAATGACTAGGCTTTTGATTCTTACTCAAGTCCGTAAATCGGCAACTGTTGCTGTTGCTGCAGATTCACGTGTGTGTGTATATATACACACATATCGGTGTGTATATATATATATATATACAACACATATATATATATACATATGTCACAAAAGAAAGATCAATGTAGTATGTCTAAATGTATATGTATATGTATATGTGTGTATATATATATATATGTGTGTCTGCATCAAAAGGTATTTCCAAGAAGCGCAAACGGACAACATATCAATGCAAGGGCCATGCCCTGCTCTATGTCCTTGAGTTCAGCAAGATTGGCCCTTCAGAAGCACTTGCGGTGGACAATCCCCCTGGGCGACTTATCAACTCGGCCTTGCAAGATCGATTCACCAATCCACGCGGAAAACTTACGCTCCGGGGGTAACTCCCTAACTCAGAAAGAAAAACAGGGGGGTCTCAAAACAAGCCCAAGGACTACATAACAGGCACCTTGTTCCGTTTTGGGCATACACATCGCTCCGGCATGGGCCTCCGGCACAAAATCCCCTGATGGTTCTCCTTGCACTGGTTGCCGCCCAGGCAAAGCTCTCGAGCGCACTCCGCCTCACGCCGAAAAACTCCCTGCAATGCGTCGAGTCTCAAAATCGAAAATCGCGGGGGGTTCACCCCAAAATGCCCCCCTGGGAGTCCCTGGTGTTTTTTTTCCTTTGCTTTCCCAAGACAGCTAAGCCCCGGGGGGGTCTCAACACAAAGACATGCCTCCTGTTGACTTCCTGCTGCCAAGGTACAAAGCTGCCCGACTGCGACGCCGACGGCAGGCAGTAGAAGCCTCGCACTTGGAAAGAGGCAAGTCTGCGATGTATGGAAGTCATGATAGCTGGCCTTTTGGTAAATGGAATAAATCCAATCTAAACCAGTGCCACCTATATCGAATCAAACAACGCTCTGGTCATGACATCGCCACGGCCTGGTTGTGCAAAGATCCTGAGCGGGACATGTAGCTCGCAAATGCGATATGACAAACTCAGAGCGGACTCAGAACTCTGGAAGTGAGGTTGCCTTGTCCCAACAAATATCCGGTGAAAACGCATCAAACTCTCACAGGGCAGAACAAAGTGCGAAAAAGAACTCAACGTGAGCATTTTAAGTGTTTTTGTCATTCTCAATTGAAACTATGTCCGATTTCAACCGGTCACAGTACCACCATTACAGCCGCTGTCTAGCACCACTACACGATTTGTTGCTTTGCTGACGTGCTGGTTTCTTGTATGGCAGGAAGCAAAAAAAACAAGAACTCGATTGGGTCAGACATGTTCCAATTCTATGTCTTCTTTTGAGGGTACCCTTGTATTGGTTGGTTCAAAGGAAATCAAAAGGAAACTGACAAGTTTTGGGGGTGCCCCTATTTGGAGACACCATATCTGCAATTTGCATGACGGACGTCTCTACGACACAAATGACGATAAAACCAACGTGAATACATCGCACGGACGGAGTTTGGCATGATGCAAACATGCACAAGCCATGCATTCCAATTCATCACCAGGTTTCTTTAAAACCACAAACAAATGGGTACTCCCCAAAAAAGACACATCCATATGCATCGGGGAGTGTGTGTGTGTGTGTTGTTCCAGATTCCACTGGAAAATATTCTCTTTGACAATGTGACTCCTTTGTCAGTTATGCCATGTTCATCTAAAAAAGACATACCCTATTCTCTCTATCACCATGTTGAGCCGGAGCTCCGAAGGCGTTTTGGGGCTTAACTGTGAACAAGTGGGTGGGTGTCCTTTTAGGGGACCCAAAATGGTGGTTGTCCTTTTGGTTTTCCTCTGCAACCAACCAAAAAAGGGTTCAATTAACAGAAAGACACACCCAAGTGTCGCAGAATTCGCCGACTGAAAACCGAACAGGTTAATGGTAAAGCAGTTGTCAAGAGAGACAGTGTCATCGAAGCATCGATCCCCATCTCAAGTTATGTGTATGGTGTCTCCCCATTCCAAACAACTGCATTTGTAAATTCGTGGCGCGCATTTCAGAAAAACAGACAGAGGATCTGTTCTGTGGCAGTCCAATTGCGAAGGTGTTGCAAAACAGCGGACAAGCACACCCATGATACATGGTGCAAGCGGCGGAACTTGAAGCACCTTTACTCGAAATCTTTCTGGATGGTTTTACAGGGGGACCAAGAGGAAATGAACAAGATCTGGGGTCCGCGATTGTGAGAGACACCCGTTAATGTGCTTGCCATCTGCAGTCGTTCATTTCATGCTTGCACGTTTGAGGCAAATGTGGCACGAGAAAATGGAGAGAATAGCGAGAGAGAGAGAGAGGGAGAGAGTCGAAAAGTCAAAAGCGAGAAAGTGAGGGAAATAAAGATACAGAAAGCTGGAAAGACAGACAAAATAAAGAAAAGAAGAAAGAAAGAAAGAAAGAAAGAAAGAAAGAAAGAAAGAAAGAAAGAAAGAACAAAAGAAAGAAAGAGAGAAAGAAAGAAAGAAAGAAAGAAAGAAAAAAGAAAGAAAGAAAGAAAGAAAGAAAGAAAAAAAGAAAGAAAGAAAGAAAGAAAGAACAAAAGAAAGAAAGAAGGAAAGAAAGAAAGAAAGAAAGAAAGAAAGAAAGAACAAAAGAAAGAAAGCAAGAAAGAAAGAAAGAAAGAAAGAACAAGTAAGGGAAACAAGCAAGAAGTAAAAAACAAAAAGGATAGGAAAGGAAAGGAGTTGCCGGGAAAAGGGAAGGAGAAGGCAAGGGAAGGGCAGGGAAGGGCAAGGGAGGAAGCAAGAGAGAGAGAGAGAGAGCAAAAGAAAATACAAACCAACACAGAGAGGAAGATCTTGGCCCCTCGGAAACGGAACACCCTAACAAACTCAACCGCTGCCTACGGGAGTCTTCAATCGTTGTAATTTACTGGTGGTTTCCCTTGAAACCATTGCCACTGTTGCAGGTTCCAAGAAGAGAACCTGAGTCATAGTTGCGGATATCCGCCTTCTTAATTTTTGAAACATGGTTCTGGGTAGACCATTTTAATACCGGGTTTTGATTATTTCTGGCTGGGACTGCCCCTTACTAACCTTCATCAATCCCCGGTTTTGAGCACGTGGCTCACCTGAGTTTTCCTGCACCTCCAGTTCTCCTGCTTGTTCTTCGCGGCCTCTTGGGCCCCCGACTCTGCATTTCCAGGACACTCGGCGCCGGACGGGCACACGTTGCATCGGCTCATACCAGGCTGGCTCCCGTATCTCGGCTCGTAACGTCGCATGGAAATGGCTGTCAATTTGAATCAGGTGTATTTTTGGTGGTCATCAAATTTTGGAGTGGATTCGCAAATCACTTCCTCAATCACTTGGGAGAGGAGTATTCCTTGAAATTTCTAGTCAGATCCCGCAAATACAAAATGAGCCGCAGACGTCCCGGGATGGCAGTCTTCACATTCCACTGATCGCGGTGTGCGGTATTGCCCAACTGGACACTGCCTTGGTATCGGGAAGCCCGGGCACAGGCGGCAGAATCTCAGGCTGAGAGTAACAAAACAACGCAGGGAAAGCTGCGCTCTGCCATTTTCAAGCCGGCACAGGTCGCACGAAGGGAAGATCAAGTGCAAATGGCTGGGGGTAATAACCAGTGGGATCCCATTTTGGGGTAGGTGCACCACCCACTTTAGTTTATTTTAGTGGGGATTGGGATGTTCACTGAAAGGACAGGATTTTGACCCATTTGCCAAAGACGAAATGTGCCCTTCACGGCTCCGAGTTGGTGCAAGAACATGCCCATAGCTTCGGCTTCCCGACGCAGAGTCAAGTCACCCAAATCGCCACGCGCACTCATCGATTGGGAGTTTGCTCGTCTGTTTCGTGTCCCTCAAAAGAAACTGTTTGAGCCAACAAAACAATGTCAGAAAGAAAGGGCAAGGGCACATTTTCGGTGAATGTTGGGTTGCTTCCACCACCCACCCACCCACCCCACCTCCACCAACCAACGGTTCCAACGCTCCAAAACGACTCAGCTGGCCACTTGCAAGTGGAGGCATTTCCAGCGGTGTCCAACACCACGGCCTGCGAAACCGCCAAACCAGACCAACCAGGAATGGCTGGCTGGCTCGTCACTTTTTTGGGTTGGACCCTCAGAATGGTGGGTGGTCCTTGGGGTTTGCCGAGAAAAAAACACGCAAAAAAGTATCTTCAACAAAAATCACACCCAGCTGGGCATGTATCGAAATAGGGAAGGTGTCTCTTTCCTTGAGTTGGTAACCCTTGTTTGGAGGCTTAGGGAGAAGAAGGACAACTGAGGCCAGTTTGGGGGTCTCTGAAAAGACAGACCTATTTGGATCATCACAAAACGGACTTTGGCTTCCTTTTGGTTTCCCTTGAAACCGAGATGAAACGGGTGCCCTTTCAAACAGAGAACGGACAGTAGGAACAATAGCTTCATGGGCAAACAAGGTTTGGTGAATACAGTAGCTTCATGGTTGGACAGTTATCAGTTGTTCATGCTGGTTGTCTGGTCAAAAACCGGTGGAACGACTGCAAATGTGGAACAATGGCTTTATGGGACAATGGTTTTGCGGATTACAATCGTCGCCGTTCGCTCGGTGCTGGACACTGGTGGGAGAGTGCACAGAAGTTGAGTTTGCTTCTGGAAATCAAGAGGGAACCTTAACAAAATGTCCCCCCTTCTTCGCCGGTTCATTCTTGCTTCCCCTTTCCAACCGTCCAAAACGGATACTGTGCCGAACCCTATTTCACCAAAAAAGCCACGAGACCAGCGACCCAAAGGGACAGATAGAACTTATTGACTTATTCACTCTCCATGTCCCACTTAGAAGAGTTCCTAATGTAAAAGATAAGAAATGGAGAGATGAATGATAAAGGAATGAGTATTGATTGAAAATATGATATCTATTAAGAAATAATGAACTTAGAATGCAGACAATCAAATGGGAAATGACATTGATGATAAAGTAACATGAAGATATAAATCAATAATCAAAGGATAAGAAAAGAAAAGACAGACCTTAATATCAGACCTTAGCATCGCCAATAAAATCTCATAAGCAATGCCAAGACATTCTTTTGAGACAGTAGAAACAAAGTGATGGACATCCTCATCTTACATCTTCTTAATTCAACGAGTGCACGCACGAGGCACCTCCCCTGGGCGGCAGGGGTAGATGTCGATCTCTTTCTGCACCCAGGTGGGTAGCGGCCACCCAGTGGGATTTCCGCCTAGGCTTTGGTCCCTTTGCTTCCTGAAGACACCATCATTTTATATATTTTAGGGGGGTCCCCCCCCAAAAAAAAAAACACCCATAGGGGGAAATATAGGGGACACTTAAAAATCCTGTTGCTTTACCTTTCAAGGTGACCCATGGCTTCAGGCAAATTCCGCCACCAATCCTGTCAGAATCTTCCCCTCTGCCACACACGTGCCATGGTCAGATCCCACAAATTGTGGGTCTTGGTCATTTGACTCTAGCACACATGAACCATGGAGTGATCATGGCTACATCCTGCCAAAATCCGGGATTGAAAGTCACCACAGGCAACTGCGTCTGTTGACCCTGGCGCGTTTCCGCGGCAACCAGCGCGACGAACTTGGGGAACCAGCTCAGCGCGACGATGTCTGCGCTCGTCCATCGCTCCATGAGGGATTGATCCTGCAATTCTTGCCGGCCGAAAGTCAGAATCGCAATCCCCGCAGCTCGTGAGAAGTCAAGAATGATAGTCGCGCGTGAACACAAAAAGGAGGTCCCCCCCCAAAAGCAGGCGGCTTTGTGGGTTCCAGGTTTCTTACTGACTCAAACAGACCCAAGAAAAACCTCGCCCAAATGCAGAGCTGGCCTGGCCATACGGCTGCACCTGAGGTCATGCGATCCAAAAGGGATTGTCTGACAGAAAACTATGGAGGCCAACAGGAAAAGCAAACGTGTCCAGAGAACGACTACATGCAACATGTGCCGGTTGTTGTTGTTGCTGCTGCTGCTGTTGTCGTGGTCGTGGTCCTTGTGGTCGTGGTGGTCGTGGTGGTCGTGGTGGTCGTGATTGTTGCGGTTGTTGTTGTTGTTGTTGTTGTTGTTGTTGTTGTTGTTGTTGTTCATTTTTTTGTTGTTGTTGCTGTTGCTGTTGCTGTTGCTGTTGCTGTTGCTGTTGCTGTTGTTGTTGTTGTTGTTGTTGTTGTTGTTGTTGTTGTTGTTGTTGTTGTTGTGGTTGCTGTTGTTGCTGGTGTTGTTGTTGTTGTTGTTGTTGTTGTTGTTGTTGTTGTTGTTGTTGTTGTTGTTGGTGTTGTTGTTGTTGTTGTTGTTGTTGTTGCTGTTGTTGTTGTTGGTTGTTGGTTCTTGGTTGTTGTTTGTTTCCGGTTGTTGGTTGTTGGTTGTTGGTTGTTGGTTGTTGGTTGTTGGTTGTTGGTTGTTGGTTGTTGGTTGTTGGTTGTTGGTTGTTGGTTGTTGGTGTTGTTGTTGTTTGCTTGATTGTTTTGTTGTTGTTGTTGTTGCTGCTGCTGCTGTGTTGTTGTCGTTGTCGTTGTCGTTTTGGTTGTCGCTGTCGTTGTCGTTGTCGTTGTGGTTCTGGTTGTTGTTGTTGTTGGTGGTGGTGGTGGTGGTGTTGGTGTTGGTGTTGGTGTTGGTGTTGGTGTTGGTGTTGTTGTTGTCGTTGTCGTTGTCGTTGTCGTTGTTGGTTGTCGTTGTTGTTGGTTGTTGTTGTTGTTGGTTGTTGGTTGTTGGTTGTTGGTTGTTGGTTGTTGGTTGTTGGTTGTTGGTATTTTGTTGTTTGTTGTTTGTTGTTTGTTGTTTGTTGTTTGTTGTTTGTTGTTTGTTGTTTGCTGTTTGTTGTTGTTTGTTGTTGTTTGTTGTTGTTTGTTGTTGTTTGTTGTTGTTTGTTGTTGTTTGTTGTTGTTGTTTGTTTGATTGCTTTTGTTGTTGTTGTTGTTGCTGTTGTTGTTTGCCGTTGTTTGCTGTTGTTTGCTGTTGTTGTTGTTGGTGGCCCCAACCCCATGTAATCGCGCAAAACGACCCCTCGGAAGGAACCTGGTTTCGTATGGCCTGCGCAGTATTTCGTGCATGCTTGCACATAAAAAAAAGTGCATTTCGACTGCGCAGGCGCGCGCGTCCCGCGTCCACAGTGGAGGGGGGGTGGGGGGGGGGGGGTGGGGCAATGTGGTCACAATCTGATGTGTATTTCATGGCACACGCGTGCATTTCGACTGCGCGGGCGCGCGCGTCCCGCGTCCACAGTGGAGGGGGGCTCGGGGGGTGGGGGGGGGAGGTGGGGCAATGTGGTCGCAATGTGGTCCCATATGTATATCTATATATATATATATACCTCCGCGTGTCCTGCCGCTGGGTTGGGTTGCATGCCCCGCACATTTACGTGTGTTTGTGTCCCCTAGTATATATATATATATACATATTTATGTTATATATATGTATACCTCCGCGTGTCCTGCCGCTGGGTTGCATGCCCCGCACATTTACGTGTGTTTGTGTCCCCTAGTATATATATATATACATATTTATATAAATATATATATATATGTATACCTCCGCGTGTCCTGCCGCTGGGTTGCATGCCCCGCACATTTACGTGTGTTTGTGTCCCCTAATATATATATATATATACCTCCGCGTGTCCTGCCGCTGGGTTGCATGCCCCGCACATGTACGTGTGTTTGTGTCCCCTAATATATATATATATATATATATACCTCCGCGTGTCCTGCCCCTCGGTTGCATGCCCCGCACATTTACGTGTGTTTGTGTCCCCTAATATATATATATATATATATATATATATATATACCTCCGCGTGTCCTGCCGCTGGGGTCGCATGCCCCGCACATTTACGTGTGTTTGTGTCCTTGCTGACCCTCCTGGAACCTCTGCTAAAGCGGCGCAGAACGCATGCGCGCTCTAAAAATAAGCTCGGGCGATATCCCCAACAGCACCACACCCTCCCAGCATCCTCGCGGAACGCCCCGGGACCATCCTCACCGCCGGTGTTGCTGAGGATGCCGCCTTGTAAAGCAAAGCTACGAGCTCGCCCTGATCGGGGCCCGACGGCGCAATCGGGGCCCGATCGGGGCCCGACGGTGCAATCGAGGCCCGATCGGGGCCCGACGGTGCAATCGGGCCCCGATCGTCCCGTGGTGCAACCCCAGCCACCCATATTATAGCGGATTGTATCTATAGCAAAACTAGGCGACGCCAGCTTGGTACAATTGACGGGGCCCGACTGAGTCGGGCCCTGATCGGGGCCCGACGGCGCAATCGGGGTCGATCGGGGCTCGACGGCGCAATCGGGGCCCGATCGGGGCCCGACGGTGCAATCGGGCCCCGATCGTCCCGTGGTGCAACCCCGGCCACCCATATTATGGCTCATCGCCGGTTTTCCTTAGTATGCGGAAACTAGGCGACGCCAGCTTGGTACAATTGACGGGCCCCGATCGGGGCGCGATGGCGCAATCGGGGCAAACGGTGCAATCGGGCGGTCCCCGACAGTGCAATTGGGCCCCGCCCAGGCCCGGTGAACCTCGCAAACCGTTCTCACGCAACTTTCGTGGAGCTCAGCGTGAAACTTTGCTGGAACCTTTCCTCAGGGCCGCCCCACAGTTTTTGCAGAATTTGGTGGAAACCTTCTGACCTCATAGCCCTCGCAGCCTCGTGGAATTCTTGGAATTGCCACAAAGCCAACATTTGCCCGAGCAAGTGAGCAAGTCACAAAACAGTGAAAGTGTGCTAAAAACCATTGATTTCGGTTTTGCTTAGTGTTCCGCCCATGAGCAAAGCGATATTGATCCGATGGCTTTTAAGACGACGGGCGCACGACACACCCTTGGTGGAGCATTGGATCCTTGTGGAGCCCGTGTGGAATCCTTGCAGAGCTTTGTGGAACCCTGTGAAACCTCAGGGCCCACAGCCCTCGCAGAATCTTGTGGAACCCTGAAACCCTCATACAACCTTACCTCCCCGGACCACCCCGCAGCCCTTGCAGAACCTTGTGGGACCCTGCTAGAACCGTGCAATGGAACCTTACCTTGCAAAACCTGGTGGATTTCTAGTGGAATTGGTGGAACCCTGGTGAAACCCTGGTGGAACCCTCGTGGAACCTCGTGGAACCTTCCCCGCACCACGCCGCACCCTCGAAGAAAGTGGTGGAACTTTGGTGGAACCCTTGTCCGGAGCACGACGGGCTGGTGGAATTCTGGTGGAAACCTGGTGGAACCCTCGTGGAACCTTACCTCAAACCACCTCGGACCACCCTGCAGCCCTCGTCAAACCCTGGCACAATTCTGGTGGAAATCTGGAACCCTCGTGTCAAACCAGACCACCCCAGCCCTCGAAGAAATTGCTGGAACCCTGGTGGAACCCTCGTGGAACCTTACCTCAAACCACCCCTGCAGTGCTGGTGGAACCCTCGTGGAACCTTACCTCAAACCACCCAGACCACCCCGCAGCCTGGAACCCTGGTGGAACCCTGGCGGAACCCTCGTCGAAGAAATTGGTGGAACCCTGGTGGAACCCTCGTGGAACCTTACCTCAAACCATCGCCCTTGCAGAACCTGGTGGAATGCTGGTGTAACCCTGGTGGAACCCTGGTAAAACCCTGGTGGAACCCTGGTGGAACCCTGGTGGAACGCTGGTGGAACCCTGGTGGAACCCTGGTGGAACCCTGGTGGAACCCTGGTGGAACCCTGGTGGAACCCCTGGTGGAACCCTGGTGGAACCCTGGTGGAACCTTAGCTCAGGGTCGCCCCGAACCACCCCGGAGCCTATCTGGGCTGAGACCCCAAAGCTTTCAGCTGTTGGGGAAAAATCAGCAAAATGACAAATTTGCGTTTGCCATTTCGTGCAGGCGAAACGCTCGCTCGGGACAGAAGTCAAGGTAGATCCGTCCCAGCCTGGCAACAGCGCTCAACATACAATTTCGCAAAAAAAACGCGGTATTTCCAGTGTTTTGCACTAGTGCGTCATTTGCTTCGCCATCGCGCGCGCGTTTACAAGGCGGTGGAGCGTTGTTGTTGTTGTTGTTGTTGTTGTTGTTGTTGTTGTTTGTTGTTTGTTGTTTGTTGTTTGTTGTTTGTTGTTTGTTGTTTGTTGTTTGTTGTTTGTTGTTTGTTGTTTGTTGTTTGTTGTTTGTTGTTTGTTGTTTGTTGTTTGTTGTTTGTTGTTTGTTGTTTGTTGTTTGTTTTTTGTTGTTTGTTGTTTGTTGTTTGTTTTTTGTTGTTTGTTGTTTGTTGTTTGTTGTTTGTTGTTTGTTGTTTGTTGTTTGTTGTTTGTTGTTTGTTGTTTGTTGTT